TCAAATTGACTCGATTTACGTGGCAATCATCTGGTAGCTAATCAGTCTTAATACTATTACTCAAGTAAAATTATGCATGCAACCTAAAGTAGTTGTATTAGCACCAATTAGTAGGTAAGCTTTACTTCTCAATGTTGGTGGGAAAGGTGAAATTTTGCAATCACCCAAAAAAGAACACTAGTACAAAAAATGCTCATACATAATCATCATAATCATCTATTATCCCTAATTTTATGGCTGACTTTTATGACATGTCTTTAGCCCTTAATAATACATGAGGTAATCTAATCACTAAACTTAGACTTTTTATGCTAATACATAGTTCATTGTCAATTAATGATGAAGACCCTAACAGAATCATCCACTAGTGCTCACCTACCAAAAAAGTCATGCAAAAGATAAATTGGGAATAAAGTTGCTAAAAAAAGTAGGCAGTTTGATGAGGAAGTAAGGGATAAGTTGAACTTTTATTCATACCTAATGAAAACAAAACATCATCACTATCACAATTTCACAAATGGGTGTTGTGATGGGGATCTCAACTCATGTCATTTTCTTCACCTACCCTCTAACCACTTATGTTAGGGTGGCTATCTTCATCGGTTCATCATATAATCCTCTGCTGTGGTCTTGTGGATAAAATCCGGTTGCGGATGGATCAATCATCGTTAAAGTTTTGGGAAGTGGTATATGGTGTGTCTATGTCTTTATTTTTTGATGCACATTACATTTGTTTGGTTGATTTTGTTGTAGAAAAAGTCTAAATCCTTCTGTATAAGCAATTGGATTTCAAATGTTTTATAAAATACTAAATTGATTAAAATCTTAGGAGGTGGTGATATTTTGAAAAAAAAAATAATAAAGTAAGACCCTGTCACTTCACTTTATTTTTGCTGAACTGAAATTAATTTTATTGAACTGCAATTATTTTTGCTGAACTGAAATTATTTTTACTGAGCTAAAATTATTTTTACTAATTCTCTGTTATATAATTTTTTTTAAAGTTACTGATTTTTACTGAATTGAAATTATTTTTACTGAACTGAACTTATTTTTACTGAACTGAACTTATTTTTGCTGAATTGAAATTATTTTTATTTAATATTATTTTTTTAAGGTAAAGTGAATAGGGTCTAAAACAAATTCTCCAAAAACCAAAAAGGCGGGTATAAGTTAATTTATTGTAAAACGAGTTAAAGTTATTTTAAAAGTACTTAAAGTTACCCTTTATACTACAAAAGTTATTATTTTTTCAATAATAAGTTTTATCTTAGAAAAAAAACTTATAATGTATTAGATTAATCATATTAGCCTTTATAGTATGTAATTATGAATATATAAGAAATTACACATTAATAGAAAATTCAAACCAATTACAAATTAAAAGTTACCCTTTAAGGGGTTAAAGTTACCAAAAAAAATAGTTAGAGTTGCCCTCAAAATGACCGTTTTACAATAAAATTAACGTACACCCACTTTACACACGACTTATTGAACATCTTATACGCTTTCATTTTTGATAATCTTACCATTTTGTTGTAATATACAAAATGGTTGCAAAATATATATAGAATTTGAAGAATCAATTTAGACAATCAAGTATGATGATATTCATTCTATCATAATAATATCGATCATCCCAATTTGTTTAACTTTATATAATTTGAGGTGATTAATTTTAATTATTTGTTTTTAATTGCGATGTTTGGAGTTTTATGCTCGTCATTATATATCTTACGAAAGGATTTTTTTTTTTATTTTTTTTTTTTTTGACAGGAGGTTTTTATTTTTGTTGATAATTGATAAATGTATCTTACAAAATGTTATTTAACCTTTAATTTTAATCTTACTCATAAATTATAAAGATTAATATTGGAGTATCGATCTTCAAAAAAATACATTAATAAACAGGCAGGAGCCGAGTTCACGTGAGAGCATCTTTGGGCCTCATTTCTCACTCCAAGCGCACTCCATTTGTCTCCATGCTCCCTTGCACGTTGAAATGACTTTTTTCTGAATTTAGTTAAATGATTTGACGTTTATACCAAGTGATTTACAACTATACTACCTACGAGAAGTAGATAAGATTATTTTGTTTTTTAGTTTTAGTTTTGTCATTTTTGTTTAATTTTTAGAGTGTATCTAGGCGCATAAGGCCTACTCTCTCCGTGCTTTAATAAGTGTTATACTTTAATCGACACACACTTTTAAGTAATTTAATTGACTTAAATAAAATAAGAGGTAAGTAGGGTAGTTGGAATATTAAAAAATTGTAAAATAAAAATAATGGCGTTAATAGTTTATTGAAAAATAATGAATGTGAGATGAAAAAAATAATTAAAAAAAGTAGTAGTGGGTTTGGGTGGGACCACGAGAGGAGAGAGATATAAAATTAAATTGCAGTTTTTTGCCAAAAAAGAAGTGTAACACTTATTAAAATACGGTCGTATTTGGTAAGTGTAACACTTTTAAAACACGAAGAGGGTATATATTTCGCATGTACATAGGAGGGCAATCTGGGTTCAGTGATACATTTTCTCTCTCTTAATAGTACAATGGTACATTTTTTGTGTACTATCTATTTATTTATAATGTACCATTAAAGTATAAGTTGTCTTTCTTAAAAAAAACGGTTATTTCATGAAATGCCACTGAGTAATTGTAAAATTCACCAAATGCCATCCGACTTTTCAAAATTCACCAAATGCCACCGAGTTTTAACAAAATTCACCAAATGCCATTTCCATTAGTTGACCGTCAAGGTCAGTTAGTTGACCGTTAATTGACCCCACCACTTGCCACGTGTCACCTTATGATTGGTCCGTTTTTAAAAAAATATATATTTTTTAAAAAAATAACAAAAAAAAAATTAAAAACTTTTAAAAATAGTAAAAAAAAATTAAAAAAAAGAAATTAAGAGGTGGCCAGCCACCACCTCCTTCCTGACGCCAAGCTCGACTCCCTGCCCACCCCAAAACCCTAGCCACCACCACCCCCTGCCGCCGGGGATGTGCCGACTTAGTGAGGGGGGTCGGAACTTAGGGTTGGCTAAGGATTTGGGGTCGGAATTCAGTGGGGCTAGGGGTTTTTGGGCCGAAATTCAGTGGGGGCTGGGGAGGGGGTGTCCGTGGGATTCGCCGGTGAGTCGCGATGGGAAAGGGGAGGGGGCTGCGACGGGGGGAGAAGAAGGGGAGGGGGGCTGCGACGGGAAGGAGAGGGGGCTGTGACGGGAAAGGGGAGGGGGCTGCGACGAGAAAGGGGAGGGGAAGGGGCCACAATGGGTTAGGGGAGGGGGTCGCGACGGGATAAGGCTAGGGGAGGGGTCGCCGGCGCGCCTGCCGGTGCTAGCCCCGGCGGCAAAGGGGTGCGGCGGCGACTTCTTGGGCTGGCCGGCGGCAGGCTGGTGGTGGCAGCAGGTTTTTTTTTTGTTTTTTTTTTAATTATTTTATTAATTTTTTAAAGTATTTTACTATTTTTATTTTTTTTTAATTTTTTAACTATGTTTTTTTTTAAATTTTTGTTTAATTAATTTTTTTTTAAAAACGGACCAATCAAAAAGTGACACGTGGCAAGTGATGGGGTCCACTAATGATCAACTAACGGTTGTCAGTCATTAATGGCATTTGGTGAATTTTGTTAAAACTCGGTGGCATTTGGTGAATTTTGAAAAGTCGGATGGCATTTGGTGAATTTTGCAATTACTCAGTGGCATTTCATGAAATAGCCGTAAAACAAAATTAAAAAGATAGTTTTTTGAATAGTACTTTTGTGTACTATTATGCGTGTAGTGGTATTTTTTGCCATTATATTTTCCACCGATGCTTTTTCTTAGATTTTCATTATTCACAAAAATGTCATCCTATTTGCATGCCAAATACATATGCGCCAATACTTCTCCTAATTTTTACTCCAAATTGTGGGAGTAACACTTTAACAAGCTTAATAAGTACTTCCTTTGTTTACTTTTAAAACATTTTTTCATTACTTTCAATGTATTATTTCAATCATTAATATCTTTTTATTAGTTATGTGCAAAAAGTATAAAAACTAGATATTCATAAAGTATAAATAGAGATGAATGTTACAAGATTTCACATGACTATACTTTTTCTTAACTATTTTATGCTAGTCAGTGTGAAGTATATGAATAATGTAAAAGTTAAAGTGTTTCATTTTAAAAGAAAACAAGTGAAGTATAAGCACTACTTTATATTCAACTTCAAATGGACATTGCGACACTATTAACTGTTTTTTTATTTATCCTTATGAAGCTGTCTGATCTTTAAACTAACAATTAAACCACTCTTTATGAGTTCAAATTTTGTGGTCGATGCTTTGGAATCATTTATTGCAAACTTTTAATTTATTCTTGTAACATGCTAAGCTAGCTTAAATTAAATTCTATGTTGACCTTTCTAACATATATCCTTCAAGGTTGTCCCTTACCTTATTTATAATCTGCAGACCATTTTGTTTAACAATGTCTTAACTTCTAAAAATATAATACGTATTTATTAGGATTGCAATTTCAGACATAAATCATTATAAATTTGAATGTATACAAGTGTTAATACATTACATTAGTTAACTGTTCAAGTTTCCGTACTTTTTAAAAAGTTTGATATAACTATTATAAATAATATTTGGATAACCACACCATCCAAAAAGTTTATTTATTTATTTGTCCCTTTTAATATTATTTTACACTTTTTTTTGAACTTTTAATAATAATGTGCAGACATTTTATACTCTTAAAAATATTTGTTTACATATTTTCCTTCATTAATACTACCAACAACTAGAATTGTGACATATAGAAAAAACTATTCAAACATGATTAGCTATGACATACTCATCAGGAGCCCTAATTACTGATAAATCAAGACATCATTGTACAAGTCTAACACATAACACTAACAAGAATAATTACTGATCCAACTCTAAAAGTTTGAACTCTAGCTTCATATTATAATAATAATCCCATGTCCTAATGTCCTACACTTCCATAGTAATTATCAAATTACCAAAATGGAAAAGTTAATTTGACTTCTATTCAAATATACATGTAATTTTTAAAATTTGTTGGTCCAATTAGTCACCAAAAAACATCCAAAAATAATAGGCTAACAAACCACAACAAAGTTAGCATAACAAACCTCTTCCCTCCCATTTCTGGGGTCCCTTTTTTTCTCTCTCTTCTCCTCTTCAATGGCGATTTCAACACACAAGAATAGCATTTGGGACACTGTCCTAGAGCTTACCAAAACTGCCCAACAAAAGGGTACCGACCCTTTTTTGTGGGCAATTCAAATTTCCTCAAATTTGAACTCTGTAAATGTTTCTTTGCCTTCTATTGAACTTTCTCATACTATGGTGTCCTACATTTTTTGGGACAACAACGTTCCTTCTGCTTGGAAGTTTCTGGAAAAAGCCCTTATGTTGAACATGGTTCCTCCTTTGCTTGTTCTTGCTCTCCTTTCTACTAGGTTTGTTTCATTGTTTGTTGTTCTGTGTCATTCTATTGTTTTGCATTGTTTATAATATTTGTTGATTATTATTTGATTGGTTTTTGTTGATTTGATCTGAATTTTGCATTGATTTTGTCCTTCTTATGTTGTGGGTTATTTTACATTTGTAGGAATTTGTGGGTGTCTTTTTTGCATCATGATGTTTGTATAATCATCATTGGTAATTTGGATTGAACTATGGATTTTTTTTTATTGATGAATGATACAGTTAGCGAATCTCACAGTGTGATTATCCATTATTGTATTAACATATTGTTTTATGACCTCTCACAAGGGTTGGTAATTCTCAGTGTCAACCAAACATTTTCCGGTTATAACCCGGAATCAACTTTTTTTACTAGGAGATGAATTTGGAATTTTCAGTTTAAGTGGACGTGTTTACATGAAATTAGATAATTGGTTGGTGATTGAAGTTTCTTTATGTTTGATGGTTTTTGCAAATCTATGTGTCATTATCTTAGATCGGTTATCCAATGCTTGTATTTGTCTGAGATTTACTGCTTTTTGATCTTGTATGGTCAATCTTGTCATTTTTTCCTTTTTTTTTTTTTTTTTTTTTTTTTTTTTTTTTTCATTCATTCATTTTGATGGATAAAATTGAGGCATGCATTACAGTGATAATCCCTGGGTTCTGCAAGACTGTACAGCAGGTCTAATTTTTGGAGGAAATTACTCGAATTCTGGATTGTGGTTAATTTTTGCCTAAAGTTTACTCAAGCTGGTGGTTTTTTGAGGGGTGTTGCAGAAAGTGTATTGATGTTCTCTATGTGTTCGGAAACGAATGATGATTCGAATCAGATGACGTGTCTTATAAGGGGATCAGAGTCTTATAGAACATTGAAAAAACGAGGAAAAACTTTGTATTTCATTTTTCATCAGAGAACCTTTACTACAAAAAAATGGACATAAAACTGGTTGTGGTTTTTGCATGAGCGCTGCTTACTTTGATTCAAAATAAAGTAATTGTACTTTTGCTCATGTTGGTAATTCTATATCAATGATGATTCTTGGTGCTGTTTTTGACAAGCTGTTAAATTAAAGCTCTTCTGTTTGACTTTTACTAAACTGCATGATTAGATGGAATACTTTTCTTATTCACTTTTAGCTTCCACACCCCCCCCCTAAAATTTCTATCATGTTAACTTCACTTTTGAAGGCTAATTTGTTTCTAAGTTATGGTTAGATTCTAGCTTTTGATGTGCATTGTAGTTAGCTGCTCCATGTAGTGATGATTGTAGCTTTCCGACTTCATATTGCACTTTACTTTTGTGGTCTTTCCTGTTATTCTGATATCTAACAATTCCCTGACCTTATAAGCCAGATTGTTACCTGATTTTCTCATCCCATCTTTGCCATTGACGCATGTTGAATTTGTTTTATACTCATGCTTTGCTTGAATTTTCTTTTTCCACAGGGTCATTCCTTGCCGACATTCTCGACCCACTGGATATAGGCTTTACATGGAATTTTTGAAGAGATATGCTTTTAAGTTGAAGTCTCAGATCAGTGTGCCTGATTTTGGAAAGTAAGTTCTGATTTAGATGGTTTAAGAGGCAGGGGTCTGTATACTCATCACCTTTATCTTCAACTCATGATCTAGTTTTGTGCTGCTTTCAATTTTTGTGTTTCATAACAATTTTAAGTGAATCGTGCACAAATAATGTTTACATATCCGATGAATTCTGAATGGATTGCAAAGAAAGTCGATGGTGTTTATACTTGGCTGGAAAATCTGATGCTAGCAGTTCGTTATATAAGCTCTTACAGGTTGCTTTGAGGTAGAACTGGGTTGTGTGTGTTTACTATGTACAGACTTAGCTTTCTTTGCTTGAAATATGTCATTCCTGCTTTGTATATATCAAAATGTAATCTAAGATTCTTCACGTTCAGAGCTCCTGACACTAACATTTCCTATGAGCTGTCCTCCCTCTCTTAAATTAATGTTGTTAAGATAACATTTCAGCTCTCTGTCCATATTAAATCATTTACCTACAGCTGTCTGTTTAGCTATGCTTTTTGCTGTTAACTTCCTGTTATTTGCAAAGATCTTGTTAGCTTCTGGATCTTGGGGTGGTCTTATGAATAGAAGCTACCTGTATATAGGCATTTCTTGTTCTATTCAGTCACATTGGTGTCACAGGTTTTTCTGCTATATAGTGGCACAATTTGGGGATTCTATGGGTTATTTAATTGATTTGTGCTCAACTTAGCTGGCCTATTGAAAATGGCTTTATTTAGTTCTCAAGATGTCAATTTTACTACCCTATTTGTATGAGAAGTGTGATTAGCTGGGTGGTATAAGTAGTTGCTGCTGCTTACCCGTATATTTGCTGAAATAATCCTTTTTGTGCATTTTGGTGCTATTGTTAATGCTGTTACAGTTACCTACTTACCTCTGTTCCTCTTTCTTCTTTTTGTTTTTCTCAGAGGAGCTTTACTAGTTTAATACTTCCTCCGTTTCTTTTTAGTTGCATCACTGTAACAATTGCGGACTCCTTGGCAATTTTCGGAGATGAGAGAGATAGAGAGAAAGAAGAATGTAGACCCATGTGATAGGAGAGAGATAGAGAGAGTTTATTAATTAAAAGAAAAGTGATGCATCTAAATTGAAACTTCCTTTTTTTAGAAAGTGATGCATCTAAAAAAAACAAACAGAAGAAGTATTTATGTACAATTTTGGGTTAGAAACACTAAATGGGATGGCTGATTTGGATTTTAGCCCTTTTCCAGTAAATTTAGAGTTTCAACCTTAATGTGAACTTTGTAATAAAATGTGTGGTCACTTCTTGTGTGCTGAAAGACGTAGACTGTTTAGGAGAAGAAATTAGTGGTAGCCCTGATAGGCAAATAGCAGAGCTGCAGACCCTTATCATGGCTATTATTGGATTATTATCTCCATGAAATTAAGCGTGCAGCACTTGAATTATGATCTATATAGAACTGATATTTCTTATTTTACTTGTTTCAAATGACCCACTTTCTTCATTCTCTTTTTTTCTTTCATATTTTTAAAATGGTGCTTTCCATGTGCTGTTCGACTTTCTCTTTCATTGCGTGGATTGTGTTTAATTGTAATGATTATTTACTATTACATATCCTTTTTTGTCGTAAGATCTTAACCTCATTCTCTTTCTTCTTGCAGAGTCATGATGTCAATTGAGCATGCCCTGTGTCTTTCTCAGATATTTGGTTCACGAGCAAGTGAACCAAATGTTCTTTTGGTTGAATTTGTGTTTACTATCATGTGGCAGCTGCTTGATGCATTACTAGATGATGAGGGGTTACTGGAACTTACCACAGAGAAGAAATCTTTCTGGGCTATTACTACTCAAGAGATGGATATTGATCCTTATGATAATTATGACGAGAAGAAGTTTGAACAACTTGACAAATTGAGAAGAATGAATACTGAGATGGCCTTTGAGATTATTGGACAATTTTTTCAAAATGGAGTCACCTCTCGAATGATTTGCTTGGTACGCCATAACATGTAAGTCTTAAATTTATGTTTAGAAGTCTATTTTGTATTTGTAAAACCCTTAAAGGGAAGCTCTTGTTTCTTCTTCTGGCCAGTAGACTACAAGTTGAGCTATTAAGTATTCCCCTTTCTTCCACTCTTTAGTCACCCTTCATTAAAAAAACAACACTAAAGTGATTGCACCAACTATGATTACACTGTACAACTTGCTTTTTCCTGGTGCAGGTTTTGTCAAACAAATAGAATATTTTGGTCAGTTTTGTGTGATGAACCGACCTTAGGAGGAGCATTATGGGTAGTATAATATGATTCTGTTAATAGTCACAGGGAGAGTATGCATAGGAAATGGGAAGTTGAATATTGTTAGAGAGTGGAAACACTTTGTAGAGTCCAACCTCTAGAATGTTGGCTAGAAGAGAACAAGCCTCTCGAAAGTTTGTACTATTTTTTAATTTTTAATTTTATTGTTTTTTATATATATAGAAATTTTCATCGTTTTCCATCATCCTTTTAATGCTGCTTCAATTTTCCCGTTCATATTGTTTATTAGACAAAATCTTCATTTTCATCTCTTACAATTAGGGATGGCAATAGGTCCGGGACCCTACCCAGACCCTGTCGGACCCTACCCTTAAATACGGGTATGGGTCTTATTTTTTTTAGACCCTATGGGTACCGGTAAGGGTCTAGGCGGCATCGGGTAGGGTAAGGGTCCGGGTATGATGTTTTCAGACCCAAACCCTACCCACGGACCCTTAAGACCGATTACCCACACCTGTACATAGACCTGCATAATATATTAACTTAGACAAAGTTTCAAAATCCAATAGAAAAAAATCTTAAGGATGTTGATTTTGTAGGATGTTAATGATGAAATCGAGTATGGTATGAAAGACGATTATACATAGTAGGGTATTAACTTTGTAGTTGTGCACTTAATTTTACAAGATTTAAATTGTAATATGCTTATGGACAATAATAATTTGTTTATCTATCATTTTAATATTTTTTTATTTAATTATTTTACGATATGCCCCATAGTACATGACACAGTCAAACATTGCACACATGCCAATGCACTAGTTTGACTTTATTTTTATATAAATAAATATTAATGAAAATTATTTTAAAAATTATATTATGAACTTTATATTAAAACCTATTTAACAACATATTTTATGATAAAATATATTTTTTTTATTATGTTAGTAAAAAATTATGGTCAAACCTAATACATGAATAGTGAAAAAAAGTCCAAACGTCTTATGTATTATGGGATGGAGGGAGTATTAGTTTATTTGTTTTTTGCGTAATACATGCAATCAATAACATAATACTAAAACAGATACCAGGAATAATACGTGTTACTTTTTGGTGCTGTTATTCCCCTCCAAAACTCCCCCTCTCCTTTTAGCAAAAAACTTTTGTTTTTGGAAAATTTGTATAATACAACTATATAATATATAATAATACTAGATGAATCTCGTGCGATGCACGATTTGTTTGTATTTTTTCAAATAAAGTATTCTACTAAATATATATTTATCTCCTAAACTTTGTGATATTCGTTTGCTTACTACTTGAATTTTTTATTTAATTTCATAAAGTTTCATATGTGGCTGGTCACATCGTGTGGTCAGGATTACTTGGTAGGGTTTACTCGGTTCGTCAAGGGTTACTCGGTTCGTCAAGGGTTACTACAGTCAGCCGGTCAATGTTTTGGTATATCTCAGCCGGTCACACGATGTGACCCGCCACACGAAAAATGTGCTGATTTTATTATTATAATAATATAAAATTTTAGATCTAAAATAAATTGCAATTTTTTTTCATTGGCTAAAATATGATATTTTTCTATGTGATGCTCTAAAATATCTTGAAAAACTCTCATATATTTAATTTTTGTAAGATTTTATCATAATGGTTCCATTAATCACCGAAATAAATTATTTAATTTTATTCCTGATAATTTTTTAAATATAATAATCTTATTTGTCGCTCTGCTAATTTTTTAATTTATTATTATAATCCTACGTAGCGTTTTAAAAAACTTATTTTACGTGGCATAATCGTATTGTAGCGTTTTGAAAATATTAATCTTGGCCCTTTTTTTTATTAACATCCTACATAGCGCTTTACAAAAAATTATCTTACGTGGCATAATCTTATTGTAACGTTTTAAAAATACTAATTCTATGTGGCGCTCTAATAATTTTTTAAAAATTAAAATCCTACGTGGCGCTCTAAAATCTCGGGAAAAAACTCCCCTTTATATATATATATATATATTAGATTCCAAATCTTATATATTATCTTTACATAAAAATGTATTTCTTTTTATTTTGTGTTCTTAATTCTATTACACATTCACTTGAAATATTATTCTAACTCTTTTTTAATTATAGAAAAAGTGAGCCACTGGTACAAGATACTATCATTATCGCCTTGATATCTTTTAGCCAGAGTATTATTGAAATTTTGCCCTAAAAGTAATAAAAAAAATTGGTTCATATAATTTATATGAAAGAAATTACTTTAAAACATCATTTTTTTTTTTCAAATACCTCTAATATTTTGTTTCTTAGACTAATGGAGTGTTACATGACTATATAATAATTGTTGTGTTCGACAAACTATATCATATGTCTAATTCTAGGAAAATGTGAAATTTTAATCAATTTTTTTGTTATTACTTAATTAAATAAATTTATATCTTAGTAAATACAAAAAAATTTATTGTCTTTTGCTGAAACATGTGATTGAGATGATAAATTTATTACATTCGACAATATAAATAAGATGCATAGTAAAAGACACGTTAGACATAGTGACAAGTGACATCTTCATGTGTATTCTTTTTTTCGATAAATAACTATCATCAGCAAATAAACTTTTAAGCCAATAAATAAACAATGATTATACTACAATTATTAAATAGTTTCAAACACATTTTTATATAATAACAAAGAGCGACGATATCATGTAGAGCATTAATTTATAAATAGAAAATGTACTATTAATAGGTTAGTGTTGCCTAATTGTTGATTATAATTGCCTTTAATGATCCGAGTAGTATTTATTTCCTTTGAAATTATTTTATTGGATATGAAGGTGATATATTATTTGTAATTTATATATTTACATGTATGTTGTGCTAATAGTTTAATAGTTTTACTGTAGATTTTCTTTTGTTTTTTTTATTAATATTTTCATGTTTATTAAAAAGGCATTTATAAATAAGTTTTTAGTCATATAGTCACTAGATTGTATAGTTTTATTGGAAATAATATGCATCATTAATGTAATATAATGTATACTACATTTAAATATTTTCAACACAACTAATCAACAATGAATTTTTTTCTAAATTGTAGTTTTAATAATTTTTGCGTTATTATTTTATTTTTCTATATGCATTGCATTTTTCTTATTCCACATGAATTGCCTTATTTTTATATTATAGCACAATTTATTATGGGAAAATGATTATTACTACCGTGCATCGCACGAGCACTAATCTAGTTATACAATAAAAAATAGACGATTAATATTTGGAAATTTTTTTTAGTGAAGGACCCATATTGGACCCTGGACCCTACCCATAGGGACCGGGTAAGGGTCTTGAAATTTTAGACCCCAAGGTTCCAGGTAGGGTATGGGTATGAATTGAAAATTCCGGGTACGGGTCCGGGTATCAGTAGACCTTACCCAGACCCTACCCATTGCCATCCTTACTTACGATAGTCAGTATGATGCTGGCTTGTGACATTTTGATGGCTGAATTTGCAAGGATCGTATCGTTTTAGTCATTAGTTGCTACATTTTATTGATCTCACTCTGATTTATTCGCAGCACTTCTTAGCGCCTTTGATTGAACTCTATATTCAATTATTCACTGCGTAAGTGCCTAGTTCCTTTCTCATTAGTTTTAATTAATCTCAATCTATGTCTCATTGGCAGCACTTATTAGTGCCTTTCATAGAACTCCATTTTCACTTCCTAGTTCCTATCAACCCCCCCACCCACAACCACCCCTCCATTCCCAGCCAAAAAAACATATAATACACAAAAATCCCTCAAAGCTCCATTTAACATTTAATTATGAACTGTTTACCACTTTACCATAATAGCATGGAGTCTCAGATGTATGTTGGACATATAGAAGGCAACTCAGCTTGATGCTAAACTTCCATATGATTTTGTTTGCCTACCTCATGCTTTTGTGCTGGATCGGTTTTGATGTACCAGCTATGTAATCATGGAACCCAGACATAATTACCTTTATGTTGCCTTATTACATTTAGTTATGCTAAAGATGCTCAATACCTTTTGTCTTTTTCTGCTTCAGGCCAAAACAATGGGCAGCTTTTACTGAAAGATTAGAGTTGCTTGCAACAAACTCATTAACGTCAAGGAATCCAAAGATTTTATGTCCCAAAATGCTTTTAGAATTGACTTCTGGTGCTCGAAAATTTTCATCCTGGAAATACAAAAAGTCGGAAGAGTTTTCTGGTGATTTGGATTTCATATCACTGGCTTCTCCTGCTCATGGTCAAGAAACTAGCCATTCGGGTTTGTGGCTTCCGCTTGATATAATTTTGGAGGATGTCATGGATGGATCTCAAGTTACAGCAACAAGTGCGGTCGAGATCATTACTGGTACAGGCGATATTAGAACTGCAAGATATGTTATATGTTGAGTTTGTTATGAAAAGGTGACAATTTAATGACACATTTTTTAACAGGTCTGGTGAAGTCCCTTCAAGGGATTAACAATACCTCCTGGTATGATACCTTTCTAGCCTTGTGGATTGGTGCTCTACGTTTCGTTCAAAGGGTAAGACATCTGACCATCTGGTTCCCTGAGATTCCAAAGCATCTTTTATAAGGAGGCTGTTTTGTTTTAAAATGTCATGCATTAATTGATTTAATTAATTCATCATCAATGCTATCCACTTATGCTGAAGAGTTCCATCCACACTCCAGCAATATTAGTGGGTGTTGCATTTAAACCTTGAACTGAAACCCAATACTGTTCCTACTTCACCTTAAATAGTAACATTGACAGTTTAACATGCCTTTTTGCTTCATTCTGCTATACTCTGCAGCCTAAGAATGGTGAATCTTTCATCTCCATTGAAGATGGATATATTATTACTCGTCTATTTTTTATTTTTATCTTTAAGCCATGGCTGAGTGAAGTTTCCCTTCAGCCAAAAACTTGTATCTTATGTTCGGAATCGGCTTATGAGTTGAGGTGCTGAGTTTCCTAAATATTTTTATAGCGAATTCCCTAAACAATACTATCATCGTTTCCGATACTTGATCACTTTTTGCAAGCTAATCAATTGAGTGGAGAAAGACATTTGATTAACAGAGAGTGCACAACAAAGTTACAAAAGTGGGGTGGTCTCCACTTATATAATTTGGGAAGTGATTTAATTTCACCAAATTAAATTTTCCATCGAAAGAAATGATGCATGTATTGCAAAACATCCCAAAAGGGAATATGTTGCATGTGTAACGCCGAACGCATTACACAAGAGACAGACTGAATTTGTTTTTGTTATTTTGTGTCTTTTATTTTGGTTGAAATATAAATTGGAGGGCTCACATTCTTGATCTGTCTTGAATTTTTTAGGAAAGGGATCCAATGGAAGGGCCAGTTCCTTGCCTTGACACCCGGATGTGTGTTTTGTTGTCGATCACTCCTCTAGTGGTTGCTGATCTTATAGACGAAGAGGAAAATCCACTCGATGAATCAGAAAGTAAGTTAATCAATAATTGGAATAAAAGATGTGATACCTACACCCGTCGCAAAGATTTGGTTTCCTGCTTGCAGATACTTGGCGATTATCAGTCCTTGCTGTCCCCACCTCAATCTGTTGTTCCTGCAGCCAATTTGGCTGCTGCAAAAGCAATGATGTTTGTTTCAGGCATTGATGTCTCTGGTGGATACTTTGAGTGCATTAATGTGGATGATCTACCAACTAACTGCGGTAAGTATTTATCAGGAGTGAATTACAAATTTACAACGTTTCAGAAATTTTCTAATTTAATGAAAAAGAAAGAATATGGGATTATGGGTCTGTGCTTGACTGCTAAGGTGTTTTCTCCTGTAAGTGGAACTGTCAAGTTCTAGTGTCAGTCTTCCTATTTTTCTGTCTGCCTACTTGGTTCATAGTTGTCTGCCTCATTATTTTAATGAAATCCCTATATTTTTCTTTGCCTGACAATCATCTATTATAAGCAAAACTGCCAGAATCTAGTGCCAATCTTCCTATTTTGCTGGGTGCCTCTGTGAATTTTTGTGCCTGCCTCTTTAGTGTTATAATCTTTTACTAAATAATTTCCGAGCCATGCTCGGTTTTTTTAAAATTATTGATAATTGAAACATCGAAGTTTCTAGAGAAATATAGCATAATAGTCAATTATAATATAGTCTTCGAAATAAATTATAATAATAAATAAATATAATGAATTTCCCATGCAAATTACTGCTTCTATGCAAAAAAAAAAAAAAAAAAAAAATAGAGCAAGAAGAATAAAGTTTAGGAGGGAAAATTCCCTCCAAAAAAAACTCCAATTTAGTATAGAGTAATAGATATTTATCATTATTGTTTGTAGTTCCTTTCATTCAGCGTCTTTAAGGCAATAGGAATTTCACTCATAGTCCCATATTTCCTAAATTTAACTTTTGATTAACTGATTTTGTAGCTCTGTTGTGTTACAATTCTTGTGGACGCACTATTCCCATTTATCTGATAACAATGACAGAACTTGAGTAATTCAGGTGTAATAAATTTTGAGTTTTTTGAAATGGAGTGGTGTATATTATCGACTTTGTTGCTCTTCTCAAAAAAGATTTAAAGGGGGACGATAATTTTTGTAATATTTTAATAGCTGTATACTTGGTGTACAACTCATATGGGAAAAGAGAACAATTTAAGCTCAAGAATTAAATAGCCTTCGGTAAAAGTGCAAGTAATGTGATCTTTTCTACATTTGGAAGGCAGGGAACCCGGGGGGGGGGGTAAATTCCGACTAGCCAACCTGGATGGAGCGATCATGGTTCCTGTGATCATTATTCATCAGGGAACTGAGGTATGCGAAATTCTGCTCCCCCACCTCAAGTTCAGTCAAACTTCAAATTGTTTGACCTTGGAGTAAGGGTATTGGACATTATCAACGTTGCTGTTATTCTCTGAGAAAGATGGAAAGGGGAAAAGTTAGAGTAATTTATTTTACCATTTTTTTGTTTACTTAAAATTTTTGTTTATGATTACGCATCTTTGTTTTGTAGAGCACTCTATTGAATATCTAATTCTAAGTTATGTGATTGGAAAAACTTAATTGATAAGGATGTCTGATTTTTTTGTCCATCCTTTACTTAAATAGATTAACCAAGTGTTAATGGAGCTCATATGAAAAAGATGGGTGGGAGGCACAGATACTTGCTTCACATTATACCCAAACAGCAGTGGATACATAGTTTATTAGTGTCAGCACCGCAAATAATCAGATTAGTTACTTTGTGTGCATATGCTTTGCTGATGACACTTGTGAAAGTTTGCATGGTTATTGCTGATCTTACTGCCTGTTTTTGATCTGTTTGTTAATCCTCACTTGCAGCTGGGAATATGCGCCACTTAATAGTTGAAGCTTGCATAGCTAGGAATCTTCTTGATACATCGGCATATTTTTGGCCAGGCTATGTGAATGGTCAAATAAATCAATTTCCTAGTCGTATTCCTTCTCAAGTGCCTGGTTGGTCATCATTTATGCAAGGAGCTTCACTTAGACCTGTGATGATCAATTCTATGGTTGTTGCTCCTGCTTCAAGGTATGCTAAGAATTACCTGAGAAGTCTTCCTCTAGATTAACTTTAAAGCTTCTATGTATTTATCTATTCCTACTTGTTGTCTGTGGAGGTTGTTTTTTTCTTTCTTTCTTTCTTTTTTTTTTTTTTTTTTTTTTTTTTTTTTTTTTTTTTTTTTGTGAAGACTGGTTCTTAATTGAGTTGAATTCTCTTTGTTGCAACACAAATTTGATATCAAAGTCTTTTCAGGATTTTATGATGATTGTACACTATTAGAGTTAGGAGTAGTGTATTAGAGGCTTAGAGCAATCACTGGGGAGACTTGGGGAACCTATCACTCTATTCTTGAATAGCAAGTAACTTGGCTGAAAGTCTGAAACATAAGCTGTAAATCCTGTCATGTTCAATTCAGGGTTATTCGGGGCTGGAAAGTTTGATTAGAGATAGCGGGTTTTGGAAACACCCCTTACTGAATTGAACTTTGCACCATGATCTCATGTACTATTTTAGGATGTCTAATGACTTGTGAGACTGAGAGGTCACATTTTCTAATGTCGTAATTTATTATGATTTAATTCCCGAATGCGCCACTACCTTAATTAAGTGATTCACCATTTATTTTATTTAGTTATGAGGTGAAAGTTGAGACAATGTGACAATTACATATTGGGAACTTATTAAATTTGTTTCAATGTGCTTTTTAAAAAAATTCTATTCTTTCTTTGTGTGTGATTAATAATAAGTCATCACAAGGTTGGTCTTGGAGATCCGTACAAAAAGTGTTAAGTTAATTTTGAAACTGATAGAGCATGTTTTTGGCTATTACTCAGATTTATTCTGTAGATGAGTTTAGTGGGAGTACAATTTACTGAATTGAGGTAGTGTGTGATGCTTCTGGCTAGCAGTGTGCAATTATCATAGAGCTGAGCACTATGTGATTTAAATTATGAACTCTCACACATTGGAGTTCTGACATGTCTTCTTTTCTTTTAGTCCATCTTCCATTGCTTCTCTTTTGTGTAGATTTGATGGAGGAAAAAAAACTTGCGTGGACCTGGTTCACAATAGTATTATTGTGGACCTGAGGTCCACACGTGCCAACTGCCGTTATGTTAAAATTTATGTGGACCTGATTAACCATAATATTATTTTAGACTTCAGGTCCACACGAACCAACTGGCTTATGATGAACATAATGACCTATTATTCAAATTGACCAGTATATTAAAACTCATTTTAATGTATATTAATATCTTATGGCCTTTATTATAACACACTGACTTTTATTTTAACATAATAACCTTTATTTTGGCATAGTGACCATCAACAACATTTAAGCATAGTGACCCTAATATAAGTGGTCCACAATAACTTAATGTGAATCAGGTCTATTTAAGAGTTTACAAGAGTATTCATTATAAGGCTCTTTTTCATTATATATCATACTTGGCCTATTGCTACATATAGTTTTCTGAAGTCAGGTGTATCAGATATTCTATTTAGTAAATTATTCGAGGGTAAATCAACTGAATTTAAGCTCATGCACTTGATGGAAGTTTAGCAGAGCTGGAGAAAGTATTTGAGCTTGCAATGAGCGGATCAGAGGATGAAAAGATTTATGCAGCCACAATTCTTTGTGGGGCATCCTTACTTCAGGGATGGAATGTGCAGGTAATAAATTAGACATTCAAACTTTAACCTAGTGTTGCCACTTTATGAGTGAACATTGAGTTATTGCTACATTTGATGTCTTGTCTTGCAGGAGCATACTGTGTCGTTTATAACTAGGTTACTGTCTCCTCCAGTTCCTGCTGATTTTCTGGGTAATGACAGCCATCTTATAGCATATGCACCAATGCTTTTTGTGCTCTTGGTTGGAATAGCACCAGTTGACTGTGTCCAGATCTTCTCGTTACATGGCTTGGTATGCTGGGCTTTGACTCTCTTTCTGTCTCGTTGAATTTGCATATCTTCTTAAGGCATCTTATCTAATAAGTTCACATTATTGTATTCTTTTAGGAGTTATTAGTAAATACTACCTTCGTTTCTGAAAGTTCTTTACGCTTTTCGTTAAGTCTGTTCCTGAAATTTCATTACACTCTTGTGTTATTCTATGTTTAACAAACTACATTTATTACCTTATCCCCCTGACCCCTCAATATATACACCTTTATACTATCTCTTAATCTTCCACTTTTTTCTTCTATACCACATTGACCCTCTCTCTCCAATTGCCTTAATTTGTGTGCAAATAGTAACTGTAAAGAACTTTTAGGAACGGAGGCGCTCCCTCTTTTCTTTTTTCTTTTTTAATTTTATCTTCTCATTTATTTTAATAATTTGGAACATGAAAAAGTGAGAATTAGTGGAAAGTGGGCCTTTTTTTTTACTTTTTGGGTAGGAAAGAGAAGATTGTGTAGAGACATTAGTATTATTATATAATTAAATGTGGACCATGTGGTGGGGTAAGGAGGTGAAAAGGCGAGTATTCTTTTCCATAAAAGGAATAAAGTAAAAGTTGGAAGATAAATAAAGAACATATCAAAACGGAAAGTAGGAAGATAAAAAAAGAACGGAGGGAGTAGTATTGACGAAATGAGCAAATAAACTGCTGAGCACCGGAACAAGTTGACATAATTTTCTTTATGTTTTGGTAAACATGTAAAGAAGGGACTTGTAGGATTGTTGACTGGAATACTTTTAGTTGTGGTAAATATAAAATTCTACAAGTATTTAATTAATTTTTTGAAGCAAGTGCTTGCTTTAAGCAGTGTCGATTGTTTGGGCATTTGGGGCATGGCTATTTTGTTTTCAACTGTACTTGGATATAGAGAATTTGTTGGTTATTCATTTAGTCTTCTGCTTCTTTGCAGGTGCCTCAACTTGCTGCATCATTAATGACAATCTGTGAAGTTTTTGGATCATGTGTTCCTAATGTTTCATGGACAGTAAATGAGGAAGAAATTTCTGCTCATGCTGTTTTTTCAAATGCATTTGCCCTCCTTTTGAAGCTCTGGCGGTTCAATCATCCGCCTCTCGACTATGGTGTGGGAGATGTACCTCCAGTTGGGTCTCAACTTACACCAGAGTACCTCTTATTAGTGCGGAACGCTCTCCTTTCATCTGCAGGATATGTGCTCAAGGATCGTAACAAAAGAAGACTTTCAGCTGTTTTTAGTGCATCATGCCCAAAACCCATATTTGTTGATTCCTTTCCAAAATTGAAAGTCTGGTATCGTCAGCACCAAGCATGCATTGCTGCACCTCTCTCTGGTCTAATTCCTGAAAGTCCCGTGCATCAGATTGTTGAGGTACTTTTAAATATGATTTTCAGAAAGATCAACAAAGGAGTTCAATCTTCTGCAACTTCTGGAAGTAGTAATTCTTCTGGGCCTGCTAGTGAAGATAGCTCTTTAAGACCCCAGTTGCCTGCTTGGGATATTCTGGAAGCTGTTCCCTATGTCGTTGATGCAGCCTTAAGTGCCTGTGCTCATGGACAGGTCACTCCTCGTGAGCTAGCTACAGGTAAATCCTGTTTCATTCAATCTCTGTGATTCTAGTGAATGTCTCTACAGTTTTGACATGTAATATTTCTATGCTGAAAGTGTATAAGAAGCGTCCCTTTTCAAGTGATTGTATATACCTATTTACTCTGACTCTTTTAATTTTCTTGTGTGTAATTTGTAACACAGATATTTTACATTTACATAGGATTTTGTGGTTTTGTGCAATGATGACATAAACCTGATAACTTTTTTCTTACTGTAGGTCTTAAAGATCTTGCTGATTTTCTTCCTGCGTCTTTGGCAACAATAGTGAGTTACTTTTCTGCTGAAGTGACTCGGGGAATATGGAAACCGGCTCTTATGAATGGAACAGATTGGCCAAGTCCTGCTGCAAATTTATCCAATGTTGAGGAACAAATCAAGAAAATACTTGCTGCAACTGGGGTTGATGTTCCAAGCCTTGCTGCAGGTAATATAATTGTAGCATTCCCATCCTTGGCAATTTTATAAGTTATCCATTGTTAGTATATTGCTGATTTGGTATCTAAATTTTGTCCCTTGACATCCAAGATAATATGGGTTGTGAACATTTCTTTCAAAATGGGATGGGTTTGGTTGGCTTGTGTTGTGTGGCAACAAATTTTGAGATTTATAAATTGCATTTGAATTTACACCGAAGAATTTAGGAATGCTTCTGTAATTGTAATGTCAGAGTTGTCTCCTGCATTTTCCCCACTCAGAATTTAGAGGTATTAACTGATATGTAATTATAACTTGTAAGAAAGGGTAGAAATGCTTCATGAACCATATTTGCATCTCTTGGCAAAGTTGTTACTTTGCTTCAGTTTTTATTTCCCATACATGTCCGCCAATTTAGCACTTAGCAACTTCAATTAATAATCATCTCAAAGGTTGGTTAGAATTGCTTGATCTAGAATGTTTTGCACCTTTCTGTGTTTTTTGGAGTTATTGTCATATGAGTCAAAATCATGATCCCCATATATTTCTTCTCAATAATCTATTAATAAATATTTGCTTTTGTTACAGCAGTAAATTCTCCAGCTACTCTTCCCCTGCCATTGGCTGCATTTTTGAGCCTCACTATAACCTATAAACTTGACAAAGTATCGCAGCGTTTCCTCAATCTGGCGGGACCAGCTCTTGAGTCCCTTGCAGCTGACTGCCCATGGCCGTGCATGCCTATTGTGGCTTCTTTATGGACACAAAAGGCAAAACGTTGGAGTGATTTCCTTGTCTTCTCGGCATCACGTACCGTCTTCCTCCATGACAACAATGCTGTGGTTCAGCTTCTCCGGAGTTGCTTTACCACCACACTTGGCCTGAGCACTAACCCTTCTTCAAGCAGAGGTGGGGTTGCTGCCCTTCTTGGCCATGGATTTGGGTCTCATTTTAATGGGGGGATATCTCCTGTTGCTCCAGGAATCCTATACTTGCGTGTATATCGTTCTGTCAGAGAGATCATGTATTTGGCAGAGGAAATAATATTTCTCTTAATGCAGTCTGTACGAGAGATAGTAGGTGCTGGGATATCTAAGCAATCAAGAAAGAAACTTAAAAGGACAAAAATTGGACCAATATACGGGCAGGTCTCACTCGATGTGGTAATGACTAAAGTGAAATTGGCAGCTTCTCTTGCTGCTACACTTTTGTGGTTATCTGGGGGACAGTGCTTGGTTCAGTGTCTATTAAAAGAAACTCTACCTTCTTGGTTCATATCAGTTCAGAGATCTGCACTAGAAGAAGAATCAGAAGAAATAGTTTCAACATTTAGAGGTCATGCATTGGCGTATTTTGCAGTCCTTTGTGGAGCCTTTGCTTGGGGTGTTGACTCATCATCACCTGCATCCAAACGACGCCCTAGAATTCTTGGGCAATACTTGGAATTTCTAGCGAGTGCTTTGGATGGTAAGATCTCTTTGGGTTGTGATTCAGTTGTATGGAAGGCCTATGTTTCAAGGTTCATAAACTTGATGGTAGGGTGCACACCAAATTGGGTGGTGGAAATGGACGTGAATGTATTGATGAGATTGAGTGACGGACTGATTCACTGGAAAGAAGAGGACATTGCTTTTGCATTGCTCACGACTGGTGGGATGAATACCATGGGTGCAGCTGCAAAGCTCATAGTAGAAAGTGAAAGATAACATACATCTTTCTTTCTTTCTTTTTGCTGCACCTGAAATTCTATAAAAGGTGCCTGCTAGTTTAGTAGTTTCTAGTAGAATTGTACATGAGTTTCATCTTCATGTAGGGTAGTTGTGCAGCCATGACCACATTGTATTTTTTTTTTTATTTGAAGTTCACTCATATCGAGATTATGCAACTAATCTTTGTACCATAGCTGTCTTTTTTAACCTTGCTACGAGTATTAATTAAGGAGAGGTGTATAGTATTGGTTTTTTTTTTATCCAATGAACTCGGTGATGATTTTTTCAGGGCTTTTATTCATTTTTTTCTGTTTGGTATCAAACAAGTTATTTTTATGCACTCCGTATTCCCAAATTTTATGCATGTATTTAGATAAATGAAGCAGCTCTCAGGTGACTTAATTACTGATAGCTCCCAGGTGTCTTGATGTAGTAATAAACCCCTTGTTTTCCTTCCATATGGCTTTTGTCTAGAACTTATAGTCACATTATTGCTTATGAACTGCGACAATAGTTATTTTTAGACAATTTAAAATACTGTACATGATTATAAAAGTTTTGGACGTAGGTAGAATACAGTACTGTCATGGTTTCATATCCGTGTGTTTGACATATATGAAACAGATTAATCTCATTGTTAGACCTGCTTGTGCTACCCTCAACTTCATTGGTCGTCATAAGCCCTGATTAATAAGCAAGAGTGCTCCTTAATCAAAGGACTCAAACTTGTCTCCTCTATTGATGCTTTGGCTCATAAGCTTTTTCTATACCAGCATCCTTGTACAATAGATGAGCGCGCTGCATGATCCGTCTTCAAAACACTTGGCAGAAAATTCGTTTAAACTAGCATCATTATCATCAAATAACAGAAGGCCATTGCTTAATTAATACTAATATGAGTAGTATCCAATAAAAATATTCTATCAAAAAACAGCCTACATTATATTTGTCATAATCATCAAGTCATCAACTACGTTACTACAGATTACAGAGTACTTCAATTCTATCACTTCCTTCTAAGTACATTTCATAATTTTTAATACTCAAGAACTTTAACAGAGAAACTTTCCCAGCTTCTTTATAGAAAAATTTCATGCAAAACTAGCACCAGGCAGCCTTACCATTTGTTCACCTTGCATCGATTTCCGAACCCCAATCGCATCATTCCACCTCCCAGCATCGGCATAAAGGTTGGAAAGCAGGACCCTGCTTGCCCCATGAGAGGTATCTAAGTTCCTTAAAATCTTAGCTGCTCTCTCTCCAACCTCCACATTACCATGTGTTCTACAGGCTGCCAACAATGTACCCCATATGACAACATCTGCCTGCATTGGCATGCTCTCTATAATTGCCTCGGCTTCTTGCAATTTCCCTGCTCTACCTAGGAGATCCACCATACAGCCATAATGCTTAATATTTGGATCAATCTGATAGACATTTTTTATGCTCTCAAAATATTTTTCTCCTGCTTCCACCAATCCAGCATGACAACACGCTGTCAGAACTCCGATAAAAGTAATCGCGTTGGGTTGAATACCTGTTTTTTTCTAAGTCTTCAAATATTCTTAATGACAAGGTAGCATGCCCATGCATTGCCAATCCACAAATCATTGCATTCCATGGGGAGATTGAAGTGATTTTGGGTCGTAAAGGATTGAAAACATCCAATGCATTGCTGATGCTCCCACATTTTGCATAAACATCAATAAGCGCTGCAATTAAATTGTCATTGAGAGGGATTGAATTATTTCTGATAAACTCGTGGGCCCACTTGGCTTCTTTCAATGCACCAACAGATGCAATGGCAGAAAGAACACTCACCATAGTGATCTCATTTGGCTGGACACCAACTGCCACCATTCCTCGGAACAATTCTAAAGCCATACTAGCCTGTCCACCATGCGAATAACCTGAAATCATGGAGCTCCAGGAGAAAATATCCCTTTCAGGCATCCTGTCAAAGAGTTCTTGGGCCTTCTGAATCATTCCATTTCTTATAAACCCTGATATAAGGGCATTCCAGGATGCAAGATGGGATTGACAAGCTTCCTCAAATTGTAAGCAAGCAAGATTAATTTTCCCACAAGCTGAGTAGAAGTGAATAATTGTAGATTGAATAAAATCATAACAGTTGAAGCCAGCTTTTACTATTGTGGAATGCAATTGCTGACCTTCACCAATTGCTACTACTCGCCCACATCCTGAAACTAAATCCACAACCATAACATCGTTGGGCCTTAATCCTGCACTTAACATTGAACGATACAGTGTCAAAGCTTCAACTAGCCTATCTACTTGTACATAAGCATCAACAATTGTGCCCCATGATACCAGATCCCTTTCAGGGATATTATCAAATAAATCCCTGGCTAAATCAACAAACTTTGCCTTAGAATATCCATTTAACATCACATTCCAGGAAACTATATTCTTTTCCGGCATTTCATCAAACAAGCGCCTAGCGTCCTCTAAACTAGATTTAACACAATATAAGTGCAACAAATTAGTAGAAACAAGAACAAAATCTTTGAGTCCTAACTTAGTAGTCAATGCCTGGAGAGCTCTACCATCTGAAATCCTACCAACACGAGTATACGATGAGATGACACTAGCCATAGTTACCTCATTTGGAGCAACACCTGCAACTCTCATACCCTTAAAAATTGAGATTGCTTGACTCCATCTATCACTCTGAGCCAAACCCATTATCATGGTAGTGTAAGCAACACCTCCTCTGTCAGGCATTACATCAAACAGTTGGAGGGCATCACCCAACATACCAGATTTCAAATAAGCACCAAGCATAATATTACACGAAATCGAATCCAATCGTGAACACGAATCGAATAACTTTTTAGCAACACCAATCTGATTACATTTAACATACATACTAATTATACTGTTCTGAATAAAAATATTGGAATCAAGACCTGATTTTACTATTAAGGAATGAATTTGCTGACCTTGAAAAATTGATTGGAGGAAAGAACAAGATTTCAGAGCGGAAACCAATTCAAGTTCATGATCAATACATTCTTTGTTTGAATTTCGATTTCCACTTTGAATGTTGATTGAATTGAAGAAATTTGCGAGATGGGTTTTCGATTCTGATAAAAATTGAGGGGATTTCGACGAAAAATGAGATACCCATATCAAATTGGAAGAAGAAAAAGAAGCAAATGGTGGTAGAAATTGAAGAAATGATTTGGGTTTCAGTGGCAGGTACATGAGATGTGATCATAGAAGAGATGTTAATGTTTGTGTTTTGGAGGGAAAACAATCTCGAGAGTCTTATTATTTTTTTTCTTTTTTTTTTAGACAGGAAACAATCAAGTCTTTTTTTTATTTTTATTTTTTTACAAGAAGAAAAAGGGATTTCATCAATAAAATATAGTCAAACGACACTTATATATAATTTCTACGAAATCAAGAATTTCAACACAAGTACACACCTTAAAACTAAATACATCCTAGATTTAATTAACAATCGCCTAAATAAAAAACTTCATCTGAAACAATATAATATATGAGTTCGCACTGATTCGGCTTGAAATCCAGTGATGCGTAGTCGTTTGAGTGAAATATTCATGTGATCCTCCAGAGACTTGTAGAGATTATGAAACCCTAAATCTTCAACTTTTGCCATTCAAAGGAAACAATCAAGTCTTATGGCTTTTAATCCTTTTATTATTTACTAGCTTAGGTCCCGTGCAATGGCACGGTAATTTCACTATTATTAAACAAATAAAAGCAAATCTTTTACATAATGCATGTGGACAAAAATATAACAATGGTATTTTTTTTAATGTATATTATGAAATGAAACATTAAGGTGTTAATAAGATTAATATTATCAAAAAAAAATGCTATTAGTAAGTCGTTTTCTAATAAGAAAAACATTTTGAAATTTCTAAATCGAGAATACAAAAATAACAAATATTTTTATAATAATAATAATAATAATAATAATAATAATAATAATAATAATAATAATAATAATAATAATAATAATAATAATAATAATAATAATATAAAATGAATCAAATGTTTCAAAAACACATCATTTTTTTTATTACAAAATTATTGCATATAAAATACATTGTAGATTTAAAGGAATAAAATACTGCATATGAAAGGGTTGTCAATTTTATTTTATTTCTTTTAAGGAATAAAGTATTGTCATATTAAAAGATGAGGATTGAGGAATCGTATGATATACAAAGTATGAAAGTAATAATATGAGGAATAATATATATATATATATATATATATATATATATATATATATATATAAATATATATATATAATATATTGTGCATCAAATGGATGTAAAAACTGTTTTTTCAAATGGCGACTTAGTGGAGGAAATTTATATGGTTCAACCTCTAGGTTTTGTGGTTTCCGGACATGAACGAAAAGTGTGTAAGTTAAAGAAATCCTTGTATGGATTAAAACAAGCTCCAAAACAGTGGTATGAAAAGTTTCATAAAACAATACTTAGTTTTGGGTTTATAGCAATCCGTGCTGATACTTGTGTGTACTAAAAAATGTTTGGATCTGATTGTGTAATTGTCTGCTTATATGTAGATGATATGTTGATTTTTGGTACACATATTGATGTTATTAATGAAACAAAAGAATTTCTTTCCTCTCAGTTTGAGATGAAAGACTTAGGTGAAACTGATGTGATTTTGGGTGTTAAAGTACCAAATTAAAACTAGTAATGGTTTCTCTTTGTCTCAATCTCATTATGTGGAAAAAGTGTTAAAAAAGTTTAACAGTTATGATGTTGTGCCTTGTGCCTGTTAAAACTCCTTATGATGCTAGCATTCACTTGAAAAAGAACAATGGCAATAGTGTGTCACAAACTGAGTATGCTAGAATAATTGGGAGTTTAATGTTTCTTGTGACCTACTCTCGACCTGACATAGCCTATGCAGTTAGTAGACTTAGTCGGTATACCCATAACCCTAATAGAGAACATTGGAATGCCCTTAGACGCCTATTAAGGTATCTTCGAGGCACTATGCATTGGGGTTTGCATTATGTTTGTTTTTTTGCTGTGTTAGAAGGATATTGTGATGCAAACTGGGTGTCTGACAATGATAAGGTAAGCTCCACTAGTGGATATACTTTCACTTTATGTGGAGCAGTTGTGTCTTGGAAATCTTCAAAACAGACTTGTATTGCCCGATCAACTATGGAGTCTGAATTCATTGCCTTGGACTTGGTCGGGCAAGAAGCGAAGTGGTTAAGAAACTTATTAGCAGATATTCCATTGTGGGGGCGACCTGCTCCACCTATTTCTTTACATTGTGATTCACAGGCTGCTATTTGTGTTGCCAAAAACAGTGCTTACAACGGCAAAAAGAGGCACATTCATGTGAGACATGAGTCTGTGAGGACTTTGATAGTAAGTGGTGTTATCACTATGGAATATGTAAGATCTGAGAGGAATCTAGCATATCCATTGACCAAAGGACTAAATAGGAGACTTGTCCTTGATACGTCGAGGTGAATGGGGCTTAAGCCCATTAGTTGAGGAATTCATGGTGGATACCCGACCTTGTTCACACAAGGATTCATGTGGACTAACGAAGCCATAGAAAGACTCATAGTTGTACACTTCCCATTCCTATGACTTGTACATTTAGTGAGGTTAAGCTCTTAGCTTTTAATGAATTCATAGCCCAGAATTTGGGTGGTCCTAATGAGACGGACTTGATGAATTCACCGCTTTGATAATGCGAGGTTGAGCAAAGCCTCTTAATGATTTCATATCCCAGGGTCTGGGTGGTCTATGCGATAGACTTGATGAAATTACCTACGTGGGTGTGAAGGTTTGACCACCTTCTATGAGAGACATGGGCAGTCTTTCTAAGGCACTCATAAGTATCCCAAGTTTGATGGCCAATCTTGGTGGTTGATTTTTATCGCGGAACTCACAATGTCTTAAGGTAAGATATGTGTTATTGGGTTTTAACTTCTGAGTTGAGTGAGTTCTAGATTCGTTCACTCACTTAACAAAGGAGTTGCCTAATCTTTACTATGTATTGGTTCAATCGAAAGATACCAGTACTTAAGTATCAAACCTATTGAAATGCTTAGAACAGGTGTTTTTATTTGTCTTAAAACTCTTTTTCCTTCGCATTTGTGGGGGATTGTTGGAAATAAATGCTAAGGAAGTGTTTTTGTTTTGGAGGAAAACCCATTGTCCCACATTGGTGGGATAAGGAAGGATTTACTTGTTATATTGGGAGAAAAGGTGTTTTGTCCCACATTGGTGGGAGAAGTATATTTTACATGTTTTAAACATGAGTGTTTATACATTGATGTTTGAAGTGCTTTCCCTATTGTTGTGGGCTAGAAAGAGGCATCCCCATGCGCGCCGCGGCCGCCGGCCGATTCGGTTCGCTTCGTGGCACGTGCGCGGTGTGGTGTGTCTACCTTTTTGGGCTAAGTCATAACTGACGTTCCAGTTTTTATGAGATTGTTCAGTTACAAAGTCCACAACAACGTTTGACTCGGTCTTTTAAACATTGTATTTGCTTGCTATTTTCCTCCACAATGATTTGCGTGGCTTGATTTTCTCCAGCAGTTACGGTTTTCTTCTTCTTTTAAAAACTGGTATTTTTCGTGGTTTCTAAAACACACAGAATTTTTTTCATCTTCTTCCTCTTTTGTTTTCGGTTTTCCTCTACGGTTGTTCTGAGCATATTGTGAGTTCCTAATCTCTCTTTTTGAGTGCACATTAAAGGATCGAGATCACTGTGTTAAATCTTGGGGGGCAACGCCATCTCCGATTGCACCATAGTCGGGGCGAATTTTGCTTCTAAGACAGTGTTTCTAACACGTCACAGTGTCATTCATACATTAAGAAATTCGGCCCACATTCAATCTTTATTTTCTGATTTTACAGTTTTCCAACCTACAGGGACTAGAGACCAAATTAAAGTAGATGTTTATTAATTAATCAAATAAATTATTTAACTAAGTATCATTAATTAATTTCAGATTTATGTATATATTATAATAAGCTTTTCGGTAGATGACATTATATAATGACTCCACTAGCTTGTTAGTTGGTCAAGATATATATAATTAATTTTTAATTACATTGTTAAGTACAGTATGCTAGATTTGTTACAGACCAACAGGAACCTTAAACTATAAACCAGGGTGATTACATCCCCATCTTTCTTTGACTTCTCTATATAATATGATTATTATATTACCATTCTCACATCTTTAAACATGGAATATTAGCTTATATTATTCCACATGATGTCCCATAATTGCAAGTTTAATCAATTCATAATTATAATGCTTATCTACCATAATTCTTCTTCATTATTAAACCAACTGAATCTCTTTTGATAGTGAAAGTTAGAGGTGTACTAATATTTTATACAAAAGTTTCAAATTTTTTTTCCTTAGATTGTATAATAACTATATAATATACCATTTTGCATGCATATATGAGCTTCTCTTATACGACTTTTTGTTTTTTTTTTCCTACCTTCCTCTATCTTTTTATTTTTTTAAATTGACCTTTGCTATTCATGTTAATTAAACTAACATAAGGACAACGTTTTCTCAAAAAGACTAACATAAGGTCTGTTTGCTTGTGATGCAACGCATCGTCGAAACCGGCCTCGTAAGTAGTCCTATATAAGGAAGGTTATACCAAAGGACAAACAACACCAAATTAGTGAAACAACAATAAAACAAACACTAATCAAACTTTCCTTTGTTATTGTATAACACCCCAAAAAAAAAAAAAAAAAAAAAAAAAAAAAAAAAAAAAAAAAAAACTACTAATAACATGGAGAGTAGTCCTTATTATGTAGAAAAGAAGCTAAAATTGTTCGGGTTTGAAGTCGATTTATACAAAAATCCCGAGAACATGAACGAACACGAAGAAAGTACGAAGTCATCCAATACAATCTCCTCTGGTTCTAATAAAAAAGAAAACCAGGGTGATCGTGAAAGAAGTTCATCCGTAACTAACAACAACAGCAGCAGCAACAACAACATTGAGATTGAAATCGGAAAGAAATTCGAGTGTCAATATTGTTGCAAAGAATTTGCAAATTCTCAAGCATTAGGTGGCCATCAAAATGCCCATAAAAAAGGAGAGGATGAAGAAGAAGAGGCTTCAACTACAAGCTCGAAAAGCGAGTATTAATTTTTACCTTCAACCATACCAACAGAAAAACAATAATTCTTCTTCGGGTGCTTTATGGTACTTTGATCCTAAATCTTATTAACCAGCTCAAAATCATTTTTCACTCTATGAAGAATCTCAGATTAGCTTCGGCCAGTTTGATTATCAACACGAACATGAACACGAACACGATCATCAGAAGCCGAGGGTAGCGGCGGCTTTCCAGCAGTTTACGGTAACGCATGGTGGCAGCAGGTGCACTTCAGAAAATAGTACTCCTGTTGTAGTGATACCTGTTACAAACAAAGCTGTAAATCTCTAGATCCGCAATTAGGGCTTAGCTTAGATTCTAATGTTGTTATCAAAAGCTCTCCTAGAGCTGGGTAACTTTTATGAATTCTTTGCATTTTTCTTAAATCATAGGTTAATATAATATATCATATTAATTCATATACTTAGTTTTTTCAAAGATTGCCAGCTTCAATTTTTTTTTTTTTTTTTTTTTGAAATTCATTTTAAATTAGTTTTGATTTCTTCATGCATACAAGTATATAAAATGAAATTAATATTACTCCCTGCCTTTTATGAATAGATATACTCATTTCCATATTACACAATCTCCAATAATGCATAATTTTGATTACTACCTCCATTTTATATTTTTTGTAAGTTTGGGGGTATTATTTATGAGATATAAAATATTTCAAAGTTGCAAAAAATATGAAAAGGAGGTAGTATTAGTACTATAATTATAATCAGTTACGACTTACGAGAACTATATATAAATAGATATATATGATTTTTTTTTTAAAACTATACATTGAAATGAATCTAACCTAGATTTCATTTGATTTTGTTTTACGTTGTAATATATAGTTTACTAAGCACGATCAAAGAAAAAAAAATCATTGATCACATAAATAGTAAATGAGTAGAATTTTGATGAATGAAGTTACGGATATGGCAGTATAATTAGTTTAGCTAGGTTCATCATCTATGATCCCAAATGGTTGATTAGAAGCTAAGGCAAGGCTTATAATTTTGTATGAATAAATGATTAATATAAATCTATGTAGTACTACTATACAGTATGTGTAACTAATCCAATGATTTTAATCAGCTTGTTCACCGTACCCACTAAACTCCCTCATTTCAATATGTATAAATAATGATACAATGAATAATAATATGGTTGGTTTAGTTTGCACCCATCAATCAGGGCGTTTTCCCAAACTAAGCCAATTTTGCTAAATATTAACCAAAATGGTTGCGTGGCAAAAGTATTTACGGAACTAAGCTTCTAGGCTAAAACGCTGTCTTGGACAGCGTTTTATGCCTGGTTTTTTGTAAAAAAAAAAAAATTCAACTTAAAAATGCTGTCTGAGACAGCGTTTTTAGTTGTTGACTTTTTTGTTGAAATTTTCTTAAATTCTGGGTTTTTAATAAATTGGGGAAAAAAAAATTACCTAAAACGCTGTCTGAGACAGCGTTTTAGTCTTTACTAAAAACGCTGCCTGAGACAGCGTTTCTAGTGATTTTTTTGTTGAAATGAAATGCTGCCTCAGACAGCGTTTCTATGGTTTTTGTTTTTGTGCGTCACAGGCTGCAGCTCATTCTCATCACTCTCACTCTCACTCTATCTCGCTGTCGCCACCACAGTCAACCACCGGGCTGCCACCACTGCTGCCGCCACCACTGCTGTCGCCGCCACTAAGTTGCTGCTGCCCCTCTCCACTCAATTTCGTGGTAAACCCTAAATTCAAAATAGTGTAATGTTGATAATTGTTGAATTGTTCAAATTGTATCAAATTGTTCAAATTGCTGCTTTGTTCAAACTAGTGTAATGTTGATAATTGCTGCCCCTCTTAATTGTTCAAATTGTATCAAATTGTTGCTAATAATTAATGAAAATGTTTTAAAATGTTGATAATTTTTTTATGGTAATGTGGTACATTGTTGATGAAATTGTTCATGAAATTGTTGAAATTGTTGATGGTAATGTGGTACATATATGCGAAATAGTTGAAATTATTGATGGTAATATGTGTAATATAATTGTTGATAATTATAGATTATTGGTGAGAAGACGGTTATTTCATTATTGATAATTTATCTACCATTTCATATTAGTTTATTGTTTATAATATTAGTTTGTTAGTAATCGTTTTGCATTGAAACCTAAACTAAGAGTTTATAAATGGAGTTACTGCGTAGTTTGTGGGCAACTATTTTTACCTCGCTCTAGATTTCAATTATCCTAATATGTGTTTTGGTTATGTAGAATATGACTGGACAAAATGTAGTGTTGTTATGCCGGTGGGGAGGTGAAATTTTGTGTGATGGATCAAATGTTGAGTATAGTGGAGGAAATATGGAACCAGTAACACTTGAACCGAACATGACAGTTAATGATTTGATGAACGAGGTTCATAGTAGTATTGGTTCAACCCAATGAATGTTGAACTGAACATTTAAATGAGGTTTGATACTGGTCACGGGGTTCAAGTGTTACATGTCTCTACGAACAGACATTTGAAAGCTTTGAGGAGCATTGTTGCAATGAAGGGTGTTCCCAATGAGATATATGTAGAAACGGTGCCTATATGTACCCAACAAAGTACTCGGGCAGAATAGCAAACTACATATGTCTCTAATTACAACACCGCGTCCTTCCAAGTGCCCTCAAACCACATTCCATCGAATGAATATGGGATGGCACCCTTTAGTCGAATGCTGCGGGACGAATAATTTCACATGTCGTTCAGTTCTCATATAGCTTCACCAGTACATGCTGGGGGATGTAGGACAATGTTCGGCCAACCCGGTCCTTCGTCATCGAACACCGTGGCACCTTCACCGATGCAACTGCATAGTTATTCGCCTATGCAAGGTGATGTTCAAGCATCACCGTCTCGAGAAGAGCCAGATCATTTTGATGATATTGTGAATAATGAATTGTTGGTGTATGATGTGTATGCGGAAATGGATGATGAGGACGAGAACGGAGAGGAGGATGATGAACCTACATAGATGGAAGTTGGCGAGCCCTTGGTTAGAACTCCCATACCTTGGTTTAGTGAGGTACCCAAGAACTATGAAGTTGATCAGTATTGGGCCGAATCGGGTAGCCACACATCGTTTGTTCCCGTGGGAGAATTTCAGAAGGGAATGTATTTTGAAAGCAAGAAAATGCTTCAAGAAATGGTGAAGATGTATTCTATACAGAGGAATCAATTCTACACCATAGTGACCTCGAATGATGGTGTCCTACATCTGCGATGCAAGCAGAAATGTGGTTGGATGCTACGGGGTTTCAAATCCAGTGAGCACTCGCGTGGTTTTACCATAGTCACGTACAAAGGGCCGCACCGGGAGACATGTGTCACTGAAGTACTATATACTGATCACCCATACTTGGATTCGTCCATAATAGCAGAGTATGTGGAGTCCTTTGTGCGGAAAGATCTGTCCTTGAAAGTTGAATTCATACAGGAACTCATCTCCAAGCAATTTCATTTTGATGTCCCGTATCGACGAGCGTGGTATGCTAAGGAGAAAGCTATAGCTGAAATATTTGGGGATTGGGAGAGTTCTTATGGCAGACTTCCGCACTTCATGCAAGCACTCCTACGGTCAAACCCGGGTACATGTGTCGTATGGAAACACAAAGCTTTAGTGGACGGTGTATACTACAACAACGTGGAAGTGTTTGAACGAGTGTTTTGGGCCTTCGGTCCTTGTATCGACGACTTTAAACATTGTATGCCTGTTATCTGTATCGATGGGATGCACTTGTACGGGAAGTATAAAGGAACACTGTTGGTTGCTACAAGTGTTGATGCAAGCTTCCAAGTATTTCCTCTAGCATTTACGGTGGTTGAAGGGGAAAACACATCCAGCTGGTCTTGGTTCCTGGGTTGTATTCGGGATCGTGTCACGCAACGGGATGGCCTCTGTGTTATATCTGATCGACATCCTGGGATCATTGCAGCAATGAATGATCCAAATGTAGGATTCACCCAGCCGCGAGCCTATCACAGGTTTTGTGTCCGCCACATAGCATCCATTTTGAAGACTCACGTGCGAAGTAACGACATAAGAGATATGTTCAAGGCTGCGGCGTACCAAAGGCAAGAGAGAAAATTTCAAGCTGATTTGTGTTTCATTGGTGAGGCATGTACCAAGACCATGGAGTACATTGCTGAAGTCCTGTTCAGTATGTGGTCTCTCTTTCACGACAATGGTCGTATATATGGGATATGTACTACAAACTTCTCGGAAACATTTAACAATGTGTTGAAGGGAGCTCGGTTTCTACCGATCATGTCCCTTGTTGAGTTAACCTTCCACAGGGCTGGTGGTGGAGCTGGTTGTAGTGTTGTTGGGGGTGGTTGGAGAGTTTTGAAGTGCATAAGGGTGGTCAAAAGTGGTGGGAGGTGGTGGTCGACGGTAGGGGTTGGTGGTGGGGGTGGTGGTTGAGGGTGGTGGCTTATTGAAGGCTGGGGGTGGTGTGTTGGAGGAAGAAATGGGGCAGATTAAAGAGAAGAAAGGCTGCTGGCTGCTGGTGTTGCAGTCCAGTAGAAAAACGCTGTCTCAGACAGCGGTTTATGTACAAAAAAAAAATTGTACATAAAACGCTGTCCTAAATAGCGTCTTATGTGCATTTGATTTTTCCCACAAAATAAACAGAACATAAGAATTTTAAAAATTAAAAAAAAAAAAGTCAAACGGTAAAACGTTGTGTGGGACAACGATTTACAAATTGAATTTTTTTTTTTTAAAATATCCAGGGGATAAAACGCTGTCCGAGACAGCGTTTTACCCTAGAAGCTTAGTTTGGTAAATACTTTTGCCACGCAACCATTTTGCAAAATAGTTTTTGTTTTAGGCTTACTTTGGGGAAATGTTACATCAATTAATTACTCCATATGTTGTAATGTTTGTTAAGAGTTACTTTTTAGATATCTATGATTTGTACAAATAATCGATGATTTGTACTATCGTTATAACGTTTGTCGAGGTTGATTATCAAATACTTATAATTTTGTTACATTGAATGATAAAACAAATTGAAAGGGATAGAATATTGTACATAAACATCCTAAACCAAAATATTGTTATACCCCCCTAGGCCCTAGGTTAAGAAATACTCTGTAATTGTCTTATTGTCGCAATTTCTTATAATTGAACACGTACATAGGGATGTTAATAGGGCGGGTCAAGTAGGAGACCCGCCTTGCCTCACTTCGTGCCCACCCTATACCTACATATATATTGACAAATTGGGGTGAAAGAGAGAATGAATGACTATTTTTTATTATTCAGGTAGAGTATTTATACAAAACCTACGCTCATAAGACAGGAAACAATCTTCCTAAAAGATATACTAACATAACCATAAACCTAAAGATATATTCTCTAACTAATATTTTTAACATAAATAAACCTAAATATATTATTCTCTTAATGATATCTACAGAAAATATATCACACATATATTTTTCGATATCTCATATCTCTAACATATATATTTTAAAAAATTAATTTATATACTTTTATAATATATAATATAAAAAAAATCAGTAAAATAAAGCACTTAGTAGTAAATATAATATTTTATAATAGACTTATAATATAAACAAAAAAATGTGTAATATTAACAATGATTTTTTTAATTTTTTTTGTAATCAACATTATGCATGTAATATTGTTGTATTTGAGAGGCAAGGATTAGGCCCGAGTCTTGGATGGGGATTAGATGGGTGTGAATATCCAAGTGGCCGGGGGATGGGGTGGGGATAGTTTTGGAATTGTACCCGTCGAGGCAGGGATGAATTTTGGATCCGCCGCGGGGATAGGAGTGGGGATGAAAATGTTAGGCAGGGACGGGAGTGGGGATGAAAATGTTAGGCGGAGACTGGGATGCCAACATCCCCCGGTCATCACCCCATTAACATCCCTACACGTACTATTAGTAGTCTAGTTCTCTAGTAACATGAACTATGATCAATCTATAATAATCTACTTCCTCCGTTCTAATCTACTTAACCTGTTTCTTTTATCACGTTTGCCAATACACAACTTTAACCATCGATAACTGTAATTCTCTATAGGTAAATATAATAAAAGTTAGGAAATTTTCATTTTTACCACCTTCAAATAATGACTTTGTCGAATTTACCACCTCCAAAAAAAAAACATTTACTTTACCACCTCATAAAAAAATTAAATATCAGTTTTACCACCTCATCTGAGCTCAGGTGACGGAAAACGCTTGTGGGGCCCAGCATAACGGCTAGTTTTTGATTTTTTTCCCAAATTTCTCTCGATTTCCCTTTTATTTAAACCTAGTTCTTCATTTGTACACCAAATTCTTGCAGATTGGAGATTAATTTTTGCGATTTTCTTCACAAATCAGTATTTTTGGGCAACCTTAACAATCCCAAACCCTCTAATTATCAAACAATCAATTGAACTCCTCGACAACAAGCATCAAAAAGGTAAGCCATTGTCGTTAATTCTCTAGCAATTTTCGTGATTTCTGTTGTAATTTTTTGGCAATTCGTTGCGTGATTATGTTGCATTTGCTAAGAGTAATTGAAATTGGGCGTTTTGTGAGGTCAATTAAACCCCAATTTCAATTAAAATACTTAGGGTTCATGTAAGATTAAATTAGATTGGGGATTTTTGTTATGTGAATTGGCTACTGAAATTAGGGTTATATTATGGTGATTGTGTTCGAATACAATTAATTTCATTCTTGTTCTTACTGAATTTCAGAAGGGAATGTCTTCAGTTAGCATGTCACCCTCAAAGGAGAAAAAATGCCAATGTGGAGTTCCAATGTCTAGGCTGACTGCTTGGACTAGGGAGAACCCTGGACGCAAGTTTAGGACCTGCAAATTCTATGATCCTGTGACTGAGTCAAGGGGGTGTAAATCTTTTGAGTGGGTGGATCAACCAGATGGAACACCTTGGCAAACAGAGGTGATTAACAACTTTCTGCTGGACAAGAAACTAATGAAGGGAGAGCTGAATGACATGAAGAGGGAAGTTGATGATGTTAGTGGACAAAGGAGGTGCTTGCTCAATGAGATTGACAGCTTGAAGATGAAATGCAAAGCTCTTAGCTCAGACAGGAAGAAGATGATCAAGGAAGTGCATGGCAGCAATGCAACAACAAAGAAAATGCTCACAGTACATGCTATTGTTGTGTTTTGTTGTTTTGGTTTGGTACTGGCTATGTATTTTAGATCTTAGGTTCATTTAGGAATGCTTAGAAACAAAAAAAATCCCCAACTTATGTTGTGTTTTGTTGAATTATTATGTATGGATGTTGGGATGACATTTCTTGTACTACTTTTAACTAAATCAATGAGAAATGGAACTTTTTGGTAGAAACATATCACATTTCGTATTAGTACTTGCAACACAATGTTTTTAATTGTTTTACATTGGCTGAGACAAAAGTTAAGGCACCTTTGTGCAAAATCATTGTTCAACTACCAAATAAACTTGGCTGTCTATTACAAAATACTAATGAGTAGACCTAGGGTCACAGTTGATTGAGATCCTTGTCCTTCTTGCTTGTCATTACATGAAGCTTGGACCTGGTCTGTATTTTGACTTTGGGAGGAGTAGTTGTTGGCACTCTTGTGGGCTGACTTAGGCTCCTGTTGCTCCTGGTAACAGGCTGAGTCAGCAAAGGCTCTGTTCTTGTTGCAGGCTGGCTTGACACAGCAGTTGCAGGTGCAGCATTACTTGACCCAGCCTATGCTGTTGTTGGAGGCTGATATTGTGGCAACTTCAGTGCAGCCTGCAATCACAGTATGACAAGACTCAGAAACAAAGCCACTAAATACACTCAAGTCACAAAATACACAAAATACCTGTCTTGCTGCTTTCTCTTCACTTTTCTTGCTCTGTTCCTTAAGCCAAGGAGTCTGCATCTGTGGCCTCCCACCCTTTGGATTTGTTGTAGGTGGGTTAGGCTGTTCTGGTGCTGCTTCAGCCTTGCATGTTTTGGCAAAGTGGCCAAATCCACCACAGTTCTTGCATTGTTTCTTCACCTTTGGCTTCTTGCCCTCAGGTGCTGCAGAAGTGCCCTCCCCTAGTTCAAGCTTTCTCTTTTTTTCCTTAGGTCTTCCTGGCTGCACTTTCAGCATAGGTGGAAAAGGCTGTCTGAGCTTGACCTTTTTCCAATTCTTAGGGCCAGGAATTGGCTGTATTGGGTTCTCATATGCAGCCAAGTATGTCACCCTATTTTAATGTGGGTGCACATACAACTCAGGATCATCCCTTTTGTCCATTATGCAAGCAAATGCATGGACACAAGGTATTCCTGTCAACTCCCATCTATAACAAGTGCATTTTCTCTCTTGTAGATCCACAATGCACTGATCATCCTTGTATTTCACCTCATAAATTTCATCCCTTGAAGCTGTAACCTCACATGTCATGGCATACTTCTCCAACCCATCAAAGACTTTGTTGACAAATGGGGTTAGTAAACCTTCCCAAGACTTTACTGCCTCCCATTTGTCATTACTCCTCTTCATCATATATATTCTAAGCCATTCCATTTGAATTAGAATAGGCTTGTCTCTGGCATCTCTAATCACTGCATTAAATGTCTCACACATGTTGTTTAACAACATGTTAGACTTGCAGTTTGTAGAGAAAACATGCCTTGACCAGTGCTGGGGGTCAATGTTTGACAGCCACTGGTATGCTTCTTCATCCAAAAAATTGATACTTTCCATAGCAACTTCAAACTCAAAATGATACAACCACACACATGACAACCATTCAACACAACATAGACACATGACATACAGTTTTCACAAAATAGAAAGACATGCAAATATGTGCAAAACTAAATGTTCCTAGCATACATTATAGTTCACCATAAAACTGACATAAAAGAACCTAAATAGAAGCTTACCAGAGTGCTTTCCCTAGCAGCAGCCCAGAACAATTCCTTGAAAGTTGCACCATGAAATTTCAGTTTGAAATTTGACCAAATATGCCTCACACAAAATCTGAGCTCAGCTTTGGGGGCCACATCTGCAAATGCTTCTATGAAACCCTACACACAAGGCAAAACTAACAAGTTAGTGTACGGAAAATTCAAATAAAGCAAAGTAATTTAAACACAAACACAACCCACTTACTTTCTGACTGTCAGACATAAAAGTCAAGCCATCTCCTTGGTCATACACACAAAGTGCCTTGAGCAAGCTCTCTAGAAACCAGCACCAGCTGTCCTTGTTCTCAATCTCTGCACTTGCCCAAGCAATTGGGAAGATGGCATTATTTCCATCTTTTCCAACTACAACCAAGATCTGCCCAGGGTATGCCCCTTTTAGATGGCACCCATCCACCCCAATTACTGGTCTGCAACCAGAAATGAATCCATCCCTAAGTGCAGATAAGCACACAAACATCCTCATAAAAATTGGTCTTTCAATTTGATTAATATCATCCACCACCACATTACACTCACTCCCTGGGTTCCATTTCAGCAGTGCCTTCCCATAGTCCCAAACCTTTGAGTATTGCTCTGATGAAGAGCCATATATTATAAGCTTTGCCCTGCTTCTAGCCAACCAAGCCTTGGAGTATGTAATTTTGATCCCCAAGTCATTCAAGGCCCTGTCCTGAATCTGTTTAATCTTCCATCTGGGGTTGCCCCTGAACTCCTCCAAGTACCTGTCAGCAAGGAACTCTGCTGTCACCTTGTTGTTCATTTTACTCCTAACACACCTATGCAGCCTTAGTGTCTTAATTTGCCAAGCCTCTGATTTCACAAGCCTTGTTTCATAAAACTTGAACCTACACCTAACACCCTTACTACATGTACACTTCACTATCCTACAACTGTTCTTGTTATACACACACTTGCATTTCCTTTTGCAATATGATGTTAGCCTCTTTGAATCATTGTGAAGAAGGTAATACTCATACCTATTTTCAATTGCATGTTGTCTCAAAGCTTTTCTCATTGTTTGCACATCACTGAACCTTTGACCAACTACAAATTTGATAGCCCTTTCAAAGTCTGTCTCAGGGTTAAACCAAGTAACACTACCCTGATCATCATCTGAATCACCTTCCACACTCTTTAGCTCATCAGAATCACAAGCTGCCTCCTCTTCAACCCTCACTTCAATTTTCTATAGATTTCTTTCTATGTCAAACCCTGTGTCCTCATCATCACTTTGATCCCCTCCTTCAGTAACTCCCCTCAAACTGCCTTTCACCTCACTGTTAATATGGTCTAAATTTTTCTTCAACCACTGTTCATCATCATCAGAGTATAAGTCCTCCTCTCCCTCATCAACTTCTAACTCAAAATCACTCAACTCAGAATCAGAAGACTCTGTATCACCATCCTCATCACTAAACACATCACTGTCATCCCTTAATCTCCTCACTCTTTCTTTTATTTTTCTCACTAAATTAGCAAAATTTCCAGTCTCATCCCCAACCTTAGCCTTACCATTATCTGCAGCAGTGAGTTTACCCTTCCCTTTATGTGTATTAGCATTCACTTTCTCTGCCCTAGGAAGCCTCTCCTCAGCCTCTCTGTCATGTATAACAATGCCTTTTAACCTAGGGCTTCTCCTAAATGGCTCTTCTTCAGTGGGCTTACTAAGTTCTGGGCTGGGTTTATATACTTTAGGCCCACCAAACCTCTTTTTCAGTTCCTTCCTTTGTGCAGGGGTTAGCTCATTCCCAGCTATACATTTGAAGGGTGTTTTGTTAGTCCCTTCAATTGGCTCATGACTGGTAACATACATCTCACATGCCCCCTCTTTGTTCACAGACTCTAGGAAACCATTCACCTCACCATCAACAAGCTCCCTTTTACCATTCACCCAAGACTTGCCCTTTTGTTTATACCAGCAACTAAACCCCCTAGGAACCTTCACATTCACATACACAAACCCATGTATAGCTGCTTGCCTCAAAAAGTGTACATCTATCTTATTTTTTTCCACTTTTCTCATCCAATAAACCCACCCACCATACCAAGTTAACACCCTCCTATTTTTACCAGCTAAAGAAGGTATAAAGGCACCCCCTACTGTAACTTTTAAGTCCACTGTGTCCATTCTGTAACAACACCAACAAAAGCACACACAACAATAACCAATTTCAGTAATTACAGTAAACAACAACAACCAATTCACCAATTACAGCAAGTAAAAGCAATTCACATTGACTATGCACTAAATTAACAGTAAACAAGTAAATCTAATTAACTAATTATTTAACAAATGCACACTCTAATTCAGTCAAAGATTCGCATAATTAGGGTTTATAATACTTTAATTCACAGATTCCCAAAAAAGGCATACTTTACCCCAATTGACAACCATAAATCCAACAAAATGTACTAATAAAGGGTTTAAAGTACCTCTTGTAGTCAGGAATCTCGATTTCTGTCAGCAAATTACCAAGCTTTTGGTCCCCTCACCCTGTGGAAGATGACAAGAGAAGCTGATGTGTTGCAATTTTGTGGTTCCAGCTCGATTTCAACCACCCAAATTGATCTAGGGTTTCAGTTTTTACAGAGAGAAAGAGAAAAATTCAAAGGAGAGAGAAGCAGTTACAGTGAGAATCAAGAAAAATCAAAGGAGAGAGAGACGAAAATTGATGAGGAAGTGAGAAATTTGGTGAGACATTGATTATGGAAGGTGGAAGGTGAGAAAAGGAGGAGACAGAGGGAAATCGATTTTAAAAGAATTAAATTGGAGGGAAGTGACAGTTAACTAGGCCCCACAAGCGTTTTCCGTCACCTGAGCTCAGATGAGGTGGTAAAACTGATGTTTAATTTTTTTATGAGGTGGTAAAGTAAATGTTTTTTTTGGAGGTGGTAAATTCGACAAAGTCATTATTTGAAGGTGGTAAAAATGAAAATACCCTAAAAGTTATATATTGTGATAGTACTTATTGAGATGATTCTAACAAGATCCCACATGAATGTGTTTTTCCTTACATATAATTCACAAAAGACAGTCAAAAGAGCGGTGATGATTTGATGAATAGTGTAAAAGCCAAAGCGGGTCAAGTAATAAAGAACAGAGGAAGTATTAAAAAGCATTCTTAAGAAAGTGTATGTGCCATGTGTCACTTTTCTCAAACACTAGAAACATGCCACATCATTCACAATCAACAGTACATTTTTTTAATGCTAATTATTATAAAAATGATCGATTCACGTAGTTATGAGGGGTAGCACATGCTACCCCCAAAATTTTGATATAAATTTTTTAACTGTGTAGTGAGCAATTAGGAGTTCTAGGGGTGAAACTAATTTGGTTTAAAACCAAACTGAACCACACTGAATTAGAAATGCAATGCGGTTTTTTTTCTAATATGGTTCGGTTTGGTTTAAAAAAATAAAATAAAATTGGTTTTCAGTTTGGTTTTGGTTTCAGGTATTGAAAACCGAAAAACCGAAATCCAAACCGAAATTTCAGCCCATACCCTAAATATAACCTAGCCCAATTCTGTTTTTACCCTAAGTATATAAAGTGTAAAAAAAAAACCCCCTAATCTATCATTCCTCTCCGCCTCTCTCACTCTCTCAATTCAATACTCATTCTCAATCCCTCACTGGCTCATTCCACTGTCCACCGTTCACCGGCATCCGACAGTCACCGTCCACCGGCGTCCACCCTCTCAAATCAAAAGCCCAAAGGTATGCTTCCTATTTGTTGTTGCTATTAATCTTTACTGATATTTGCTAAATTCAAATGTTCAATTGCTTAAATTCAAATTCAAATGTTCAATTTACATATTATAAGCTGTTGTTGTTCTGCTGCTGCTCGTATATTCTGCTGCTGCTCGCATCTTCTGCTGCTGCTGTGTTGTTTTCAGATTGTTGTTGAACAATTTTTTATTTATTTATTTATTTTTATTTTTTTGCTGAAGTGTTGAATTTTTTGGCCAATTCATAGGCTTTGTAACTTGAAGTTAGAACTTGTTTATGTTTAATGTTTGCTTATTATATGGTACAATTTCAAATTTGTTTGGTTTTGTTTTGTTTAGTTCGATTTGGTTCGGTTTATGTTTGGTTTGGTTCGGTTTATGTGCAATATTTTATTTTATGATGCCTTGATGGGAAAAATGGGTGTAGATTGGTTTTATTTTTTTTGAAAATCGAAATTTATTTGGTTTGGTTTCATGATTAATATGGTGCGGTGTGGTTTGCAAAATCCAAAAACCGAATTATTGTGGTTCGGTTTCGGTTTGGGCAATAACCAAACCGAAAACCGAACTTTCACCCCTAGTTCGAACCTCCTATTCTTATTTATGTGCATTGACTTTTAATTTTCTACGTACTTTATATAAGAAGTATGTAATACTTCTTTGTTAATTGTAATACAAAATTACTAGTGTGCTAAACCTGTTATCTTCATGTTATTTTTGTTAAACTGAAATTTATTTATTGAACTGAAATTATTCTATTGATTAAAAATTGTTTTAAGTGAGCTGAAATTATTTTTGTTAAACATAATTTATTTATACTAATTATTAATTAAGCTATATTTTTTTTTATTGAAGTGAAAGTTCTCAAACATATATGAATGGTCAACATTCGATCGTTTAATTTTAATACAACAGTGTGCTAACACAAAACATTGCCTTAAAAAATTAAATCAGTTTGTTGTTTTGCTAACAATAATTGGTGAAATTTTCCGATAATGTCCACCTTAAATTTAGTTTGATTTTCTAGTAATTCTTTTTTGTCGGTTTTAAATTTTCGTAAACAATTGTGTGCTACCCCTGATTAAAGCTGTTGAATATATATATATATCTCATGTCATATCACTAATTAAGAAAGCCGGTCTTGCAGCCAGGTCATGAGACAGCGACACTTAACATTTCAGTTTTTCGCCAAGTGTTGTACCATGTAGGAGATAAATAGGTATTATTGTGACACATATGATGCTAAGTAAGTGGTGTTTTTATAGATGTTTAAGATAAAATTGTTGTAGAGATTTGATTATTGATAGAATTCTAATATTTCATATACAAAATTAATTATAACTTTTAATAAATATCTTATAACTCATTCTATTTCCATCATTAAATTCGTTTTAAAAAGTTCTTTAAAATAAGATCTATCTATAATATTTTTAATCACAAAACTTTTATACGTAACTGGCCAAACTGTGTCTCCAACTATTACAAGAGTTACTTAGTTAGTTCTATAGGGGTTACTTAGTCAGTGTTATAGTGGTTACTCAATCAGTGTTATAGATAGGGGTTACTTAGTCAGTGTTAGAGGTTAATTAGTTACTTAGTTAGTATTATAGGGGTTACTCTGTCAATTTTATAAGGGTTACTTTGTTCAGCTAAATGATGTGGCTAGCCGCATACAAAATGCATTCTTATTTAAATTATTTTTAAAAAAATATTAGAGAATCAATAAAAATAAGTTTTAATCAATAAAATTAATTTTAATTTGGTAAAAATACTTTCAGTTGAGTAAAAATAATTTCAAGTCAATAATAACATGGATATCTATTTACAATCAAAACTACAAAAAGTATTATTATATAAATATAAGCCATTATCGTATGTCTAAACATCCTACATTATTAGAACGAATTATTTGACTGTATTTAACATTAAAATAAAAATGTTATCTTAAAATTTTATCAACCATCTGGGCATCGCCCGGGCACAAAAATAGTCATTAATAAATAAAGCCGATCTCGCAGCCAGGCTACGAGACAGCGACACTTGGCATCTTAGATTTTCGCCAAGTGTCGCGCCACGTAGGTGATAAAAAGGTATTATTGTGACACATATGATGCTAAGTAAGCGAATTTTGGATAGATTTTTTAAGATTAAAATGTTGGGTAGAGTTTTATTACCGATAAACTAGCTACTAATACTTCATATATACAAATTAAATATAAATTTTAATAAATATCTAATAACTCAGTTCTATTTTTATCATAAAATTCGTTTTAAAAAGTTCCTTAAAATAAGATCCATTTATAATAAATTATTTTTTATTTTAAAAATAATATGGAGTAGAGAATTAGTAAAAATAAGTTTTAATCAGTAAAAATAATTTTAATTTGGTAAAAAACTTTCATTTTAGTAAAGATAATTTAAGATACTTATATCCCTCCGTGTTTTTAATAAGTGTTACACTTACCAAAAGCAGCCGTGTTTTATTAACTGTTACACTTCCTTTTTTGGCAAAAAGCTACATTTTAATATCATATCTCTCTCCTCTCATGGTCCCTACCCAAACCCACCATTACTTTTTTTATTATTTCTTTCCTCTCACATTCATTAGTTTTTAATAAATTATTAAGTCCACTATCTTTCTTTTACAATAGTAGAATTGAGGAGAGAGAAAGCATAGCTTTGTGGGATTTTGGGTGTATGTGTTGTAGTGGGGTTGGGATGGGAAAAAGGGTTGAACATGGAGTGAGGGGAGGAGAGAGAAATAGAGTGAGATAGAGTGAGATTTATCAGGATATAGTTGAGGAGAACAGAAGGGGTTGAAGGGACACTACTAGACGACGAGGAGGAGTTTGCCAACGGCGAAGTCGGTGAGAGCGTCGCCGGTGACGCGGAGTGAGCGGTAGTAGTCGCTGAATCTGGCGCGTGTTTTCAGGGGTAGTACGGCGCCGGCGAGAGGTGGTCAGGGTGGGGAGCAGGGTGGCGGAGGTGGGGGCAGGGTAACTGGTTTTAATTTGGTGGTTTTCTTTTATTTATTTATTTTAAATTTTTTTTAAAATTTTTTTTGGTTTTTTTTAAAATTTTTTATGTAATTTTTGTTTAATTTTTTTTATAAAAAACGGACCAATTATAAGGTGACACGTGACAAGTGGTGGGGTCAACTAACGGTCAACTAACGAAAATTACATTTGGTGATATTGTACTAAACCTCAGTGGCATTAAGTGAATTTTGAAAAACTTGGTATTTGGTGAATTTTAAAATTACTCAATGGCATTTGGTGAAATAGCCGTTTCTTTTTTTAGGGTTTTTTTTTTGTTTTTTTTTTTTGGTAAATAAAACTTTCACCATTTCCATCTCTAACTCAGAAAAATTGCCAAAGTGAGCTTTTAATAGAAACAATTTTCCAAAGTAGACGCGTGGCAAAACTATTTATCAAACTAAGCTTCTAGGGTAAAACGCCAACCAGGCTGGTGTTTTTAACCGGCCAATTTTTTTTTTTTTTTTTTTTTAAATTTCAGTCAAGGCAAAAGCGCCATCCAGGGTGGCGTTTTTACCCTGACTGAAATTTTTAAAAACTTGGCCAAGGTAAAAACGCTAGCCTAGTGTTTTATCGTTGTACCAAAATTGCGAGCCTGTTTGGCATTTTTGTATCGGGTATTTCAGGCAATGTAATGTTATTTTTTTCATTGTTCTCCAAGAAAACGAAAAGCCCCAATTTCCAAACCCTAACCCGCGCCACATTGCTCGCTCAATCCTCCATATTTGCAGCAAATTCATCACATCCCATTGCTTAAATCTTCATCATACTCACTAAAAATCATTCCTCCTTCTTTGTTTAACACTTTTACGCAGTAAATAGATCGTATTTGAGGTATGTATTGAACTTAACTACTTTACTTGTTTATGATGTTTTTTAGGAATTTATGTTTGTAATTTACAATGGTGTACTATATTGTTGTTCAAGTATGCGAAATAAGTATAACTACATAATACATTGTTGTTTAATTATTGAAACTAAGAATATTTATATGTATGTTGTTTAATTTCAAATCATGTATATGAAGCATACATTATTCTTCATACTTAGTGTGAAAATTTCAAATATGTTTACGAACTACATTGTTGAATTAGGTACATTTAAATATATACTACATTGTTGATTAATTAGGTAAATAAGTACATTGTTGAACACTACGTTTTATATACGCTTAGGTTGAGGATTTAATGGAAACGTTGTGGTTTTAGTTTTGTTGTGTATTTGTGTCATCTAATATGTGTTCCGATTGTTATGTAGAACATGGCTTCACAATTGATTGTTTTGTTATGCTGTTGGGGGGCTGAAATTTTGTGTGTCAGATCGAACGTCGAGTATAGAGGAGGAAAAATGGAACCGTTGGCATTGAAACCTTGTATGACTTACAATGATTTGTTGAAGAAGGTTTATACTATAACTGGTTCAAATCCAACGAATGTTGAACTGAACATTAAAATGAGGTTTGAGAGTGTCAATGGGATTAAAATCTTACTTGTTTTGAATGATGACCATTTGGAGGTTTTGAGGGGTGTTGTTGCAATGAGGTCTCTTCCCACTGATTTGTATGTGGAAATGGTGCTTATATGTACTCAACAGACTATTCGATTGACAATGCAAAAACCTACATATCTTTCCTCATACAATACAAGCTCGTTACAAATGCCCTCATACAACATTTCGTCATTTGAATATGGAATGAGATCTTTCAGTAGAATGTTACACGACGATCCATTTTCATCACTGATGTCAATGTTGCAGCAACCTCGTCCATCTACCTCAAACAATGACCTTTCATCACCTATGCAGTTGCATAGTTACTCTCATACGCAAGAACATGTTCAAGCAACACCGTCTCAAACTTTGGTGACTGCTGAACCTGTTGTAAATAACGAATTGTCTGTTCTTGATATGTATGAGGATACAAACGACAAGGGTGAGGGCGGAGATGAGGATGATGTTATAAAAAACGAATTGTCTGTTGATGATGTTGTGGCTAGAACTCCATTGCCTTGGTTCACTCAAATAAACGAGAACTATTAGGTGGACATGTATTGGGCTGGTTCGGGGAGCCAGACTTCGTTTGTTGTCGGGGGAGAATATGAGAAGGGCATGATTTTCGACAGTAAGAAAGTGCTCCAGGAAATGGTGAAATTGTATTCCATAGAACGGAATCAGTTCTACACCACAGTGACATCGAATGAGAATTTCCTTCATCTTAAATGCAAGAGGGAGTGTGGTTGGTCGCTACGTGGTACAAAAACAAATCTGAACACACATGCCTTTAAGATAGTATCTTACAAGGGCCCACATCGTGATAACTGCGTGAATGAATTGAAGTTCCGCCGCGTGTACTACATCACATCGATTTTGTGGGTTTTCACGGATTTCATAGGATGGCCTTCACACCTATAGATCGAGCACTAATTACTGCGCTCGTTGAGAGATGGAGACAAGAGACTCACTCCTTCCATCTACCAGTTGGGGAGGCCACCGTCATGCTCTGAGATGTGGCGATACTGACACGACTCCCAATACGTGGTAGGGCAGTGACAGGGCCTATTATACTGGACCCTCGTGGCCTTGTTGAAAGGGTGTTACGGGCGAGGCCTGAGGACGCTGATATTAGAGGCACAGGGCTGAGACACATGTGGTTACGAGAGACATTTGGGGTGTTGCCTCCTGATGCTGATGATGGAGTCGTTTAGAGATACGCTCGAGCATACCTGTTCATGTTGATAGGATTGTAATTTAGTAATAAGAGTGGTAGTCACATACAGTTGATCTACCTATAGTTGTTAGAGAACAGCTGGGAGCGGATACGCGACTACAGCTGGGGTAGTGCGTGTCTGGCGACCTTGTATCGCCATCTTTGTAGAGCATCCCAACGAGATAGATGGGAGATCGGCGGTCCCTTGATTGTGCTTCAGGTAGCCATTTAATTTCATACCATTTCACTACTAAAAATAGGCCGATTTACGACGGACCATTTCCGACGGACATGTTTTTCCGTCGTAAATTCCGACGGATTTTTATTTTGTCGAAAATTTACGACGGATTTCCTACGGAATACAAATTTGTTGGAATTTATGGGATCTCCGACGGAATATTCCATCGGAAACTTAATTTTTCGACGGAAATTAAATCCGTCGGAAATTTCCGACGGATTATTCTGTCGAAACAGTTATTTTTCGACGGAAATAAAATCCATCGGAATATTTCGACGGAATATATTCCGTCGGAAATTTACCTTTCCGATGGATTTTATGCATTTCCGACGGAATTATGACTATTAAAAAAAAAAAAAAACCGGATCTTTTTCTCTATTCTCTCTCTCTTCTTTTTCTCTTTCTTCTTTTTCTCTTTCCTCCTCTCTTTTTCCGGAGATTTTTCTTTCTCTTTCCACTTCTCTTTCTCTTTTCTTTCTCTTTCCTCTTCTTTCCTCATCTCTGTTCGTCTTCTTCCTTTCCCCCTTTCTCTGCTCCACTTCTTTTCCCCCTTTCTTTGCTCCACTTCTTTTCCCCCTTTCTTTTTCTCTCTCCTCGCATCTTTCCCTCACCGCCTCTTCTCCTCTTCTCTTTCCCCTTTCTCTTTCTCTCTCCTCTCCTCTTCTCCTTTAACATCTACAAACACAACCGCAACGGGTAGATCGAGCACTGTCAAGCATCGTCAGCATCGTGGGAGCACCGTTCACCGTCGTCCACCGTCAAGCACCGTAGAAGGCCGAAAATATAGGTTAACTATTGGTTAGTTTTGTAGATCTAGGTTTATTTTTCACAAAATTTATGATTATAATTATATTTTTGATGAAATTGTAATGTAACTTTATAAATTTTGTAATGTACGTTTTTAGATCTGGTTTTTCGATTTTTTGGTAATGTAAGTTTATAAATTGTTTATTTCGATTTTTTGGTTATTGTTTCGGATTTTTTCCGTTTTTTTTTCGGATTTTTTTTCCTTTTTTTCTATTTGGTTTGTTGTGGTGGTGGTGGAAAGGACTTGGTAGATCTGTGTTGTGGGGGTGGCGAGGCAGAGTGGGTGGCGAGGTGAATCTGGGCTGGTGCTTGTGGTGTGGACTGATGGTGTGGGTGGGCAGTCATGGGTTATTATGGGGGCAGGGGGGTATGGATGGGTGGGGGGCAAGGGGTGGGCTGGTGGCGGGGGTGGATCTGGGTGGGGAAAGTGGTGCTTTTTTTATTTACTTTTCCGTCGGAATGTACCTCCTCCGACGGAAGATTCCATCGGAACATCGCCCCCATCGACTGAAATTTCCGTCAGAACATATCCGACTCCGACGGAAATTTCCGTCGGAACCTTGCGACAGATTTTCACTTAAAGTCAACAATAGCGTCAACAGAACATAATCCGTCGGAATAGACCTTTCCGACGGAATGTCGCGAAATTCCTACAAAGTGTAATGCGACGGTGCTTTCCGACGGAATTCCGTCGGAAATGGGCATTTCCGTCGGAATTTCAGGGTTTTCCGACGAATTTTTTCCGTCGTTGATTGACTGTTTTCTAGTAGTGTTTTTTAACTATTACGTACTTAACGGTGACTAAACTTAACTTGTGTTTTTTTATTACAGTTATAGGCTTAGGAGCATATCCACGTTGGTAAGTCAGCTATGGTTGCTAGCCGCCGACGGCAGGATAGCCAAGAGGAGGAAGACGATCACGAGCATGCATATGAGGCTTCGCCACTCCCGCCACCAGACGTGGCATACAGTTGCAGGTATGTATAACTTATTGTTAAGTTTTCCACATACCGCTTTATTTTGTTAATAATTTCTCATGAACGTTGTTATTATATATAAATAGGTGGCTGGTGCGGAGACTTACTCGTGTGCATGCAGCGAGGGGTCTACCGTATTACAGAGACGCGACAGAACGAGTCTCAGGTGATCAATTACACTATAAAAACTAATTTAACACCCCGTTCATTATTTCAATAAGTTAATTACGATGTTACTGACGACGTGTTAATGCAGATGACGTGGGATCCGTACGTCGCTGACTTAGTCGATGCCATGCCCCCATATCTACGTGATCATCAGATAGAGTGGCGTGCCATGATAGTCCTCATTCGTTTTGAGGTAGTGGAGGCTCACCCCCCCCATAGAGTCATGCGACAGTTCGGCCTTCGTCAGGCTATCCCCGCCACGTGTAACACGAGTGTCCACTTAGACTGGACAGACCGACGAGGAAAGGGGGACGTGAGCTGGGCAGTTTAGTATGCCCCTTTCATTGACATGTGGGATCAGCGGTTGCAGCACGTCGTGGATGGTGCGCCTTTCCATGGCCAGATGGAGTATCACGATCCATACATGGTATGGTACATGAGCATTACCGACGCTTCATTAACCCTAACTACACCCCACCCTCAACTCATTATCAACCAGCTTTTGGAGACATTAGTGGATATGTGAGTTTGGATTTTGTTTTTTTTTTTTCAATTTATAATTTCTAATATTATTAAATTGACTGATTGTTGACTTATGCAGGCGTTTGATATGCTAGCTATACATGATGCACCGGGAGTCTTGAGCATATCATATCCCACCATACCGCAGATAGATGAAATTCAAGCAATGACTGTGAGTAGCTTACAAAGACATGGTCATGGTCATCTTATCCAAGGGCGGGACCAATCACAGCAGCGTTCACACTGTGAGATAGGCGAAAGTAGTAGGGGACAAACTCACACGTCCCCTACAGCGTCCTCGCAGTTTTTTTACAGTTAGGAGGATTTCGCTGTACCCTTGTCTGCGCCATACTCATCACAGGAGGGACAATCATCCAACCAACAGACTCCTCCCCAGACTTCTACCCTAGATCCTTTCATAACGGTATCTCATTACTATCGCCGTCGGAGACCGCGAGTTGATAGACAGCAATTACGTCGAATAGATGAATCAGGATTTTAGAATTTCTTTTGTTAGTTTGTTGTAATCAGATTCTCTAGTACTTTGTATCCAAACAAATATTATCAATATTACTGACTTTTTTAATTGCTTTTTGTCCATTATCAACTTCACCATACACATTCATTCCTTTCATTGAACTGGTTGTTGTTGTTGTGGTTGCTGTTGTTTTGTTGCTGATGTTGTTGTGGTTGTTGCTGTTGTTGTTATTGTTGTGGTTGTTGTTGTTGTTGTGGTTGTTGCTTTTGTTGTTGATGTTGATGTTGTTGTTGTTGTTGCTGTGTTTGTGGCTGGTGTGGTGTTGTTGCTGTGTTTGTGGCTGGTGTGGTGCTTGCAGTTTGCAGGGTGTTGCAGGAAAAATGCAAACCAGGATGGTGTTTTTAGTTCCAGGGTACAACGCCAACCTGGCTGGCGTTTTTACCTTGGCCAAATTTTTTAAAATTTCAGTGAGGGTAAAAACGCCACCCTGGATGACGCTTTTGCTTTGGTTGAAATTTAAAAAAAAAAATTTGCCCAGGGCTGGATGGCATTTTACCTTGGAAGTTTAGTTTGGTAAATAATTTTGCCACGCGTCTACTTTAAAGTATGGTTCTCGATAAAGCTTCCTTAGGTTATTTTTCCCCCTAATTCTCTTCTCATACGGTCATAGTGTCATTATCATACCTCATTATCTCTCTAATCCATCGTATCTCTTTCTCACAACCTCTTTGCTTCTCCCAAGGTAAGCTCTTTGTTTTTTCTGTTCATTAATCATTATAATCCTTAATTTTATTTTTAAAGAAAATTTAAATGTGATGTTCTTATTTATCGATTGCATTTTCAATTTCGCCTCCTAGATCATTCTAACATGTTGATTACTTGGTTTCTGGTTGATTTTGAAGGTTAAATGGGGATAAATACTTTGCTAATTTGGCCTAATCAACAGAATTTTTGGGTGTTAGGACTTTCAATTTTTGACTAATTTATGCAAGGGAATTGCGATGCACTTCCGAAATTAGGGTTCTTGCATTTAGACTTTTAGATGATTGATAGATTAGTTTGTGGGATTCAGATTTTGTTTTGTAGTATGATTATATCTGAATTGTGAAATAATTATGATTATTATATATGGGCTCAAAATTGTAATTGGGCATGTGAAATTATGATAATCATCATTTACATATCTCTTGAAATTGGCTGTTACTGTAATTGTTTGTTATGGAACAAGCATTATTTTTGAAGGAGTGCTTGTGATTCTATTTGAAAAATTGAATTTTGGGGAGCTTTAGCTCTCGGCACATTAGCCCAGCTGAAAATTTATCTGAAAATGTGATGAACGTGAGAGGTCACACACTCCTGGTTCTTCTTTTGAACATGACGATGAAGCACTCTTATCAGGTTGAGGTTCCATTTCAAGTTGAATATTTGAGTGTGGCAAAGTCAAATTTGTACTCTGTATAATTATATACACCCTTAATTCAGCTGAAAGAAATTTTGGGATTATTTTCTTGCCTTGAATTATGGGTCTTATGTAGTTATATATATGTTAATAAGAGCATCTACATTGGCTGTATGAATCCCTAAATCTTACGAAGTATTTAGATGAAAATGTTGCTTTATTGTCTTTATTTAGAAGCTTTTGATATTACTACTAAATAGGATCATTGATTAAAATCTCGGATGCAACCACTTTTGTGGGAAATATGGATGGCAATGCGACCGAGATTAAATACCATGGTTAGCCATTAGCCTTTTTATTACATGACTTAAAGAAGTTTTATATAGATAGTGGTGAAAAAAAAATATGCTTTTGATAGATAGAATTCTGTAATGGCTGTGGTATGAACTTGGTTTGGGCCCAGAAAAATTAACTAGCGTTATGAAAATTAAAAAAGACATTTAAAAATGCCACACTTAAATTTTGCAAACAATTGTTGTGGTATTTGTAATATATTATGATATGCTATTAGATAAATATTCTTACTATGCTCTTAATATGGGAGTTATACTGACCTTTGCAAACTTTGTTAATTTATAGGGCTGTAATTTTTGATAATTTAACCTATGAAGTTGTGGTGACAAGCATAATGAGCTTGCTTGTTAGAAGAGGATTAGGTTATTGAAACCAAATTTTGCAAGCTTGGCCTCTTTTGATCCACTATCTTTGCTTTTGAAGGAGCTATAGATTGGCAGTGGTTGTAATCAAATGATACTCCTGCAATCCCATTCAAAGTATCTTCTCCAACTCCTCACAAATCGCCTTCAAAAGTAAGTTGTAATTGCTCTACCTTGATTTTAAGATCATACACTTTATGTTTTTGAATCTTCAGCAATTTTTGGTTTTACTAGACAAATATGAGCTGCTTTTAATTCTCCGAACGGATCACAATTATCCTGTTTTATGTCGTAAATGCTTACTTTTCTGCAACCTAATGTAAATTGTGATATGGACCTCTGGTGCTTGAAACCCTGGATATGAGATGGTGAAATTAGACCAGAACATTAAGGATTGTACAAAGATAGCTGATCGTGCCCTTTGACATGGTTAAAATCTAGGATGCTGATGTAGTCACAGTTGCAATCACAATAATGATTGCGGAACCAATTTTGTGGGACTGGATGGTTTGCGGCTGTTGTAGTCTAAAAAAGCAATGATGTGGCCGAGATTTAGTACCATGTCCTTGTATGCTCAATCATAGTTTACCAATGTCCCTAAGTTTTGAAAACACCATTAGTCTTCCCATGAATTAACTGGTAGCTACAATTCTTATTATGGATGGACATGGGAAGGGTAAAGCAGGGGCTAAACCCAATACTTCCTCCGTTATTTTTAGTTGCGTCATTTAGGTTTTTATGGATTCCTAGGCAAATTTTGGAGTAGATAGAGTTAGAGAGAAATATAAATGGAGCCCATGTGATAGGAGAGATTTAAAAAGAATTAGTTAGTTAAAAAGGAAAGTGATGCATCTAAATTGAAATTTCCTTATTTAGAAAGTCAGTCAGTCAATCAATCAAAGCCTTAATCCCATAAGGGGGGTCGGCTATATGAACTAAATTTGATTATTCCGTGTAATCATCAACAAAGATCCTCCTCCTTCTTCAACCCTTAGGATCCAATGTCTCATCCTCATGTACATCCATATACTTCATAATCCTTCCGAACTCCTTCCAACCAAGTCATTTTCGGTCTCCCGCCAATGGGTTTCCCACTGCCAGTCCCAAGCTTGGATAAAGGAGGAGGGTTTCGGTAAGCCAGTGACAACAAGTGTAAAACTTTGTCACATCCCATGACATGAGCCAAACTGATATTTCCTTATTTAGAAAGTTGTGCATCTAAAAAGAAACGGAGGAAATATATGTTTTCCGTGTAATTTGAACTTCAAACTTTATGACTCTTTTTGTATTGCTTTGCCTTCATGCTGTCTAATATCTACTGTGGTGCTCTACAGCCTTGACAAAGGTGTTGAACTAGACTGCCAATGGTTTGACTTTGATGATGTGCGATTCAATGTCCAGGTATATTTTTTGGTCTTTCATTACAGTTAATTACTTTAAGGCCTTATATGTTTTGATAGATATTATATCATGCATAGACTAGTACTGTATCATATTATCTGTCTATAGTGAACTGTCTTGTTTACCAGAATAACAGTCAGTGATGAGAAATTATGGCTTATTTATGCTTCCTGTTTCACTATATTATCTATGCTGTCTTTGCAGACTTCTATGACGAATCCACTCATCTTGTTGTTGTCGGTATCATTACCTACATGATGTATGTGTTTTATACCATGTTTTACCACGGTTTTATAATATATATTTGCATGGTTTTGGGCTCTATGGAGTCATTTCTTGCTAACAATCTCTTCTCTAGTGTGTTCGATCTATTTTAGTGAGTTTCACAGGAATACGGTGTTTCTTGGATGAATCGGACGTATTTTGGATGGTTATAGAAGAGGTTAGTGAGTGAAAATGAAGATTTCCCCCATGCCCTGTTGGGCATAGCTTGCCCGGGCAGACAGGGCGAAGAAGGACAATCTAGTTACAAAGTACTGCTGCAGTTTCTACATGCCCAATCGGGCATTGAAGAGCAAGAATTCAGCAAACTCGCCTTTTGGAGCTGCTTTGCGCGCCCGAGCGTAGCTTGCCCGGTCAGACCGGGCAGAGGAAGAAAAGAAGAACAACGAAGAAGAAACGTCGTCGTACTCTGGCCGCCTGATCGAGCATGTAGTATTAGTTTGGACCGGGCACTGTTTTGCTGAAGTCGTTTTATTTAATTTCGAAATTCTATCTTTTTAGGGATATAACTACCCTTTGTAATCACAATTAAAAGACAGATTATTATATCCTCTAGTATTAGTTTTACCTAAAAACCCTAGTTACTCTCTCTAGCATTTAATTTTTACTCTTAGTTTTGATTTATTGTTCATCAACAATCCAAGTTCTTTCAATTGAAGCAATTGGTATTCATTTATCTCATTTCTCTTTTATTCCTTATTACTTATTGATTATGTCTTGTCTATTGAATCTTGTTATTGGTTTTGTTAGTACGTGTGAGTAGATTCATAATCCGGGATCTTGCAAAGCTCGAATATGACTGAAACATGATTTGAATCTTTAAATTCTCCAATAATAATCCCAATTGACATGCTTAATTGATTGTGTTTATGCCAATACTAGATTAGGAATAATTAGTATTGTTATTATCCCTTTGTTCTTATTGCAACGGAAGTTGGGTATTAACGGGATTTGGGTATTTCAATTAAGGGTTTGAAGGTTATCACGGAAGTAGGTGATTGGATGATTAGGAAGCTAAGTATTGTATTTAATGTCCTTTATTGGTTGATTCCATGGAAATAGGCTTGATAGTTGATATGGGAAGCCATTGATAACTCGGAAGAGACCTTTGGTATTGTTTAGGGAATGCTTTTTCTCTTGTCAATTGATTTGTTATTGGGGGTAGGTTCATTTATGCTTTGATTATATTCGTGGTAATGCTTGATCTTGGATGCTTTAATTCATTGATTATCTCATTCTTAGTTAATTGTGTTATTTAGTTTATTAGTTATTAGTGTTCTTTATTCTTGATTTGGTTACTTGCTTAGTGATTTCTCGAGTCTATTTAATTAGGTAGACCTTAGTCTCTTGGGATTCGGCCCTTACTTGCCCGACTACATAGTTAGGAGGAATAGTTAGGTTATTTTTGTTGGTACGCGACATGCCTATCACTACACCACCTCCTAGAGCTATGTTTGTTGGAGGGCTGCCTAGTGGGGCTATAGAAGCTATAAAAGCTGCATATGGAACAGTGGTGAAAATGCTTGACCCTCCAAAAGATGGATTTAATCTCACACTAAGGCTGAATTTCTCAAAGCTTTCTCCTGATGAAAGTCTTACGAGTTCATCTTTCTAAGGTCATTATGATCTTTGCTGTGACTAGCTGAATCATATGGTCTTTTACATTTCAGTGAATTCCCTGTCAAAATATCTTTTGCGTATTGACCTGCATAATTTAGATTATGATTTCTTCACTTTTTTCCTTAACTCAAAGTGCCTCATTGCTATCAGGAAGCTGGTTTTTAACACCATATAAAGTCTCTTGGTCCCAAGGAGTTGGTAATGTATAGAAAGTTGAGTAGAAAGGAACATTTTTATTGCATATATATACAATACATTACTCAAATGTTACATCCCATATTTCTTGCTTAAGGTTCTCAAATCTCACAACAACTTAGATTACATTTAGGAAAGAAATACACTTTTTGGTTGAATAGTGTGCACTTCAGTATTTACTTTTATGCTAGAGTTTTATAATCCTAGAGGCTTCTTAGGAGAGGTAGAGGACACTGGTTCTGTTCTTTTCCTAATCACCTTATATAACCTGGCTGTAATAGAATATGGTCTAGCAGCTATTAAAAATTGTTTTTTTAAGCAAGACTGTACCATGAATAGAATTACAAAGCCTGATTTTTTTTTTTTTTTTTTTTTTGATGTGCTATGTTTTACCATACTCGTATATATGCATGTCTTTGGGGTGTGCATGTATTGTTTCAATTTAGAAGTAATTGCATGCATAATATTTGGATAGGGTCTTAAAGCCTTTATAAGATAAAAGCTTTGTGGTATGTAGACAGAAAATTCAGTGCTAATTTCGTTTTACTAGCACTTTCGGTTGGGAAGATGAGAAGGGAGGGGGGGGGGGGGGGGGGAGAATGTAGAATATGTGTGTTTGGTCTATAGCAATGAGAATGATATCCTGCTTGCACAAATATATTGAACAATGAACACCATCATGAAATAGAATAATTGTTTTAACATGCTTTGGTCTCAACTTCAAATGTAAGATATTGTTCACTGTGAACGTTTACCATCAATGACTTGGTTGAAACTCGGTTTGCCTTCCAAGTCCATCTGGAATGATTTTTTCTTTTTTCCATCTTCTCAGTGATACTTTTATGACAGTTGTCTGCTTGTCATTTTTCAGAAACTAGACAATATGCAGGAATGTACATGGTGTTGGAGACGTCGTGGTTTACTAAAATATTGCCATAGTGCATTGGACTCTCTTGACTTGCTTGATACTCTTTGATCTTGTTCAGGAATTCGTTGAAGCGCATCGTAGTGCTAGTGCTGGACTGAATAATGCTCCTTCGTGTCAATGGTCACCTTCACCACCTGAAGAACTTGCAGGAGTGCCTGCAGAAGCGTTATCCGCAAATGCTGGCTTTGTTTCTTTTGGTAATGTTCACATTAGCTACATAACATGTGTCATTTCACTCTTATACTTGTATTTATGTCTAACTGTATTCCTCATTAATGCTTAGTCATTTTCCCACGCCATGTCGACATCAAGAAGATAGATAGAACTGTATGGCTTTTGTCAACCTTTCATGCATATGTTAGTTACCATGTCAAGGTAATGTTCCTCATCCTCAAGTCCAACTTTATCTACTTTTATGCCCCTAGTTTTCACTACTTTGCTGTATTTTAATTGAAAATTTCAAGTTTGTAGTTACCAACAGTAGTTGTCATCATCTCGCGTGGAATCTTTGATTGAGGTATCCTTTTTATGTAGCACTCCTTTTACTCTGGTAGTCCCACTTATCTCCTCAAGTCATTGTGATAGGATGTTATTTGACTAAAATTTTCTAGTATGAGGAGTCATTCCCAATTGACACTGGATTCTTTTGGAATTAATGGGCAATTATATTACTTCCATGTCCCTGCATTTTCTTTGCTAAATTTTATTTATAAGTTGGATGCGGTGTACAAACATCGATGTTACCCCAGTACTTGAAAAATCATATCAGAAAACAATGCGTGTCGGACTTGCCTTAGCTTTGACCGTATTTTTTACAGTGGCGGACCCAGAAATTTCCGACTGGTGAGTCACAATCGATAATCAAATATGTAAAAAATTTTTTTTACCAAACAACCAAATAATAGTACTAAAAAATACATATAAATATTCAAACAACAAAATACAACCAAATGTTCATATAATACTACAAAAGATAATTAAATAGTAATGCAAACTTATTACAATAGTTCTCGACGAGTTTTCATGTTTTGATATCGATTTATGATATCTTCCCTGCTAACATTCAAAAACAAATCATTCTCCAAATAAGTAATTAAACAATCATTCAACATTTGATTTAAAATAATCACTCAGGCACTCAGCAAGTCAGCACTTCAGCATTATCATTATTATCATTATTACCCCTAAAACAAAAACTTAGAATTCAAACAATATAGATTTAAAATAATAATAATCATAATTGTGAAAACTAAATAATAGCAGAGACAAAGAAAAGCTTAAGTTTGATAAAATCTGGAAAATTATAACCTTACTCGTCCCACTTCGCTAGAAGATCGTCCGTAAACTTATCGAGGTTAGTGTTATCCCATGGATTTGCATCCCGAAACTCAGTTAGAGGAGGAATAGAACAAAAAAGACGAACAGGGATAGAGTCATCCATTTTTCTTTAAAGTTTTTTCTCAATTTCTATTACTTCTCTTCGATTAGGGTTTTCTGGAAAATTTGAGAGGAAAGAGGTTTGCAATTCAGTAATCTAAACTGCAATTTTATAACCTGCAAGTATTTGGAGTCGGTTTTGGTTTTAATCTTTTTTCTAATATCAGGCCTCCTGTTTTTCTTTCCTTTTTCTTTCGAGCAATAAAAATCTCAGCCCTTCACTACCCTTTTCCTGTTATTGTCCACCGTCCACGACTCCACGGAGACGGAGCAGGCGAAGAGAACGGTGGCTGGGTGGAGAACTGGAGATGAAGCGAAGAGGCGAAGAGAACTAGAGAAGAAGGCTAGGGTTTGAACTTTGAGGAACAGAGGAAGACAGTAACTCGAGAAGCTAAAGAAATTTTTTTTTTTTTAAATAACTTAAAATTTTTTTTGGGCCCTGGTGAGTCACTTGACCCACCAGGCACAAGCCCAGGTCCGCCACTGATTTTTTACTAGCATATAAAACAAATGTAAATATGTAATGATATTGGATCAGTGACAATGTATATTTTTAGAATATCAGCTTTTTAATACTTTTTAGTTTTTACTAAGGGAACAATAAATATGTTGACAAGTGTGAAAGTCAAACTGTTTAATTAAAATGGAGAAAGTATTAATTTTGGTCTAACGTGAACTGTTGACGTGCTCGACAGTCCTACTGATGTCGGAGTGTTGAGAATCTGACAGGTTTTTGGTATAATAAAGAGTATGAGTACACAGGGTAGCATTTTGATATTAGCGTACTAGCTTTGCATATTGCTGAATGGTTTCTCTTACAAAGTTACCACCTGGCACGATGGCACCTATGTTGAGGCACAAAGCCAAAAAGGAGTTGATGGCCTTGATGCATGCACCCTTGCTTCTGCAAGGGCAGTGCTCATAAATAACCGAGAGCAGGGGGAGAAAATTAGTAGACCCTGCTGTAAAGATGTCTACTTGTTCTGCAATCATTTTGGTTCTTTTTAGTCAACAGCTTAAGAAGTAATCAGTTATGTTTAGTTTCTCTCTCTCGCATGCATAGTAACATATAACTTTCGTGTCTCAGGCACTTGATTGTGCCAAATCAGATCCGGAGAAGACTAAGAAAGTTGGGACTAAAACATCCTTTAAGCGACTGGTAAGCCTGCGCTGCTGTTTTTGTAAAATGATAGTATCAGCAAGTTAGAACTTTGCCCTGATGATTTGATTTCCGTTGTTGATTAGAGCCTAAAGGATTCTCGGAGCAATTCAAATTCAAAGGCTTCAGCCAGTTGGAGATAATTTTTATGGTTAATTTTGGAGGTAACCTTGAAAACTTAGAGCTCTACACATTTGCATCGAATAGCTTCAGCTCCAGATTTTGACAAATTGTACCTGGCACGTCATTTCATGTGGTTGCTCAACTTCCAGAAAGGTGCAATTTTATTAACTTTTTCTATCAATCGTTCTGGCTATCATGTACGAGTTTCATGCCCATGGAGTTGAAAGCTGAGCAGATCAAATGCTCCATTTTTATTTTTATTTTTTTTCTTTTTCCTTTTCTTTTTCATAGTCTTGAAGTTAGGTATATTTTGTCATTTATCTTGTGAGAAACTGATTCTTGTAGTTGATACTAATTGAAATTAGAATTCTTTATCATATGCTAGTTGGTGTTGGCATAGTGTCAATGGTCCTCTACGTCTGATGACTTTGAAAGCTGTTTGTACAATGTAGTTTTTGAGATAGGACATTATGGTTCAGTTTATGCTTTCCCTTGTTTTTTCTGCCCTGGAACATGAATGCCTCTACAAAAAGCACCCCTACTTTCTTTCCCGTGAAACGTCGAGCTTCTTTTTGAACCTAAATAGTTTGTGGTATGAATGTCCACACCTCAATTCAGAAATAAAATGTGCTACTTGTTTACATTGAAGAAACAGTGACCAGTTTTTAAGTTTATGATCTGTGTTCAACAGCTTGAGTGTTTTTGACAAACATACTGTAAACAGATTGCAAATTCTACGCAGGAGCTGGGTGTGGGTGTCTTCCATAGAATCCTGATGTCATTTAATGATAGTAATGTAGTAATGTACTGCACAGTGTTTCTTTGTTTGAATTAAAGAACCATAAAAGAGTCATGCTTGTGAATAGTACAAACCTGCGCCGGATGGCTGCATACGCCTTGAAGGTATCAGAGTTAGCCATCCGATGGCAGAGCAGCCTCAGGAAAACCCCTCCGAAGTTTAAGTCAGCTTTAATCTCACTCCAGAGAGAGAAGTAGATTATCTATACGGAGACACAGTTTTGTACAGTATTTCGTATTTACTGTAATAAGCCTACTGCTACACTCTTCAAGACATTCCTGTTTACTCTTCTCAGAAGTCGGAAATGACAGCTGTAATTATGTTTTAAGGGTCAGACGACTGCAGTAATTAAAATAACAATCCCCCTTGCTCATTTTAACTGAATTTATTAATACTTTATTGCAAACCATTATGCTATGGAATCCTTTAATGGAAGTTTAATCTTTTACTTCAAGATTATGAGCAATTTTCTGATCATCCCTTTGATTGTATTGCCCAACAAAGCTTCAATAAGCTCACATGTAGATGGAAAAGACCATCATACCCCTTCGCTCTTTCCTTCTCTTTCGTGTTTAAAGCAAAAAAAAAAGTGAAAAGAACAATAAAAATAAAATTATGTTCGTTCTCTTTCAAGCTAAATATTGGCTGTCAAACAACCAATGTAACTAATTCAGCTAAATTGTTTTACCAGCTATTAGCTAGACTAAAAGGCAAGATTACAATTCACAACAATAGTTTTAAGTTTTTTCAAGGCATCATTATTATACATTTGATTTATACTCCATGATTCATAATATATGTACATAATTATTGGAAAGCTACCAGTTAACATCATAAGTCATATACGTATGTTAGATACACAAATAATAATAACAAAATATCTATAACAATTTGCAATTGACTATGTAGATCTTCTAATACCACCAAAAACCAAAATGTATAAAAAGCAAAAGCGAACGAAACTAGTTTAACAAATTGTTGATAAGCTGTGGAGTTTGGAGATATTATTGTTGTTCCATGGTTAGGATTGCTTGTTCGAATGGTCGTACGAAACTTCGAAGACCCTAGCATCGTCGGGGTGACATGAGAGTTCGAAGGGTTTCCGGTGGATGTCTTACGCCTTGAACCAAATGAAGAACTCCCACAGCTCTCCCCTTCAACCACACCTATAATAAAAAGACTAACAAGAACGTAAAAAGAAACCTTAAGTTTTGCATCTCTTCTTTGAGAAAAAGCCATTGTTCTTTATTAATTTGTTTGCGTTTGTGTTATTTAATTCATAGTATGACAATATAATATGCCTCATATTTTTAAGGATAGTACATTGTTAATAATGAGGTTGCCAATACTGTCTCACAGTGCATAAATTGGTTTGAATTTTAATTTGCCACCAAGGAGGTGAAGAAAGGATGTTAGGATCACAGTGGAGTTTATGAAACTATGACATTGTATTATTGTATATTATCTTTGCTTTCTCATAGAAAGTTTTTTTTTTTTTCCTGCTAATTAGTTAAAGTTTAGTTTTTCATTGTTATACATCTTAAAATTAGATTTTCCATAATTTATTTGTTTCTTTTTTTGAAAGAATGTTATTTATTTATTTAACCCTTAATCACATAAATAACATTAGTTAAACTATAAAAATGTTGATTACATTAGATTTTACAAGTACTTAATACTTTTTTCTAAAAAAATACAATAGAAATAGACCCTGTTCACTTCACCTTAAAAAAAATAATATTTAGTAAAAATAATTTCAGTTTAGTAAAATAAGTTCAGTTCACCAAAAGTAATTTCAGTTCAATAAAAATAATTTCATAAAAATCAGTAAAATTAAAGAAGATATATAATAGAAAATCAGTAAATGTAATTTCAGTTCAGCATAAATAATTTCGGTTTTTGTTTTTTTTTTTATTTTAAAATATAATTTAAATAATTTTTTAATAAAAAAAAAATCAAAGGTTAACCATTTTAACTAAAAAGGTTAGCCATAAACCTAAAAAAGGTCACTATAGTCAATTTTTCTAAACCTTGGTGCCACTACAGAGAGCTGAAAAAAAACTTCGTCTTTCACGTAGAAAACTCAAAACCATGAGGCCACCATGTAGAATTTCCCAAAGAAAATTAAACTTTAACAATTTTCTTAGAGTTGACTGTAAGGAACCGGAAGACATCGTTGCCGCGGATTAACCATGTTTTGGAGTGACTCAATTGATTTGACGCTTACATCTTCTTCCTTGAATCACATGGACTTTGAGGTGTGTGATGATGACCTTTTTGTGTGGAGATTAACTGGCATATATGGCAACCTCAACGATGGTAGGAAACACGAGACATGGCAATTGCTGGAAAGACTTGGCGATGCAAATATAAATCCTTGGCTATGTTTTGGAGACTTTAATTGTATCCTCGCTCATGATGAGAAAAAGGGTGGCAATTCTACCAAGCAATGTGAAATTGATGGTTTCCGTGAAACCATAAAAAAATGTAAATCGGTGAATATCAACTTTGAAGGCCCACCTTATACTTGGAGCAATCATAGAGTGGCCGAGGATAATATTATGGAGAGGTTAGATCGTTTTTTAGCAACTGATGAATGGCTTACCCTCTTCCCTCGTACCATGATGGAGCATCTCCCTAAACGCCGCTCTGACCATATCTCACTTAAAATCACAATTCAAGAGCAGCTTATTATTGATAAAAATAAAAAAAAAAAAAAAAAAAAAGAAGAAGAGGTAAAGGGGTTCAAGTTTGAGAAGGAATGGTTGCGAGATGTAGGGGTGGGCAAAAAATCCGATCCGAACGATCCGATTCGTGATCCGGTTGTTCCGATCCAAAAAATTGGATATCTGATCTAGTTTTTTCAATTTCGGATATTTCGGATTGGATTCGCATCACGAATCTAAAAATACCGGATATCCGATCCGATCCAATCCGATTTTTTTAGTATAAAAAAAAAACTTATAAAAAATTAACTAATTTTGCAACAAACTCCCACTTATAATGTTAGCTCTAATAATGTAATACTTATTTGTATTCTTAGATTTTTAGTTAAGTGATTTTCCTAAATTTTTACAAGTATTTTTTCGTTGCCTTAATAATCAAGTGAACCTTATTGCATCATTGTGCTTGAATTTGTTGCATTCACTTAATTTTTTTATAATTATTATGAAAGTTTGTAAAATATAAGATTTTAAACCACTCAAATCAGGGGTATTATACTAAAAGAAATACAAAAATTTCAATATTAGTACACGGATCGGATATTTGGTAATCCGATCCGAAATTTCGGATATCTAATTTTTTTCGAAACGGATTCGGACCGTAATTTTGCTGATCCAAAATTTTCCGATATCTGAAATTTCGAATTGGATCGGATATCCGAAATGGCCAGCCTTAACGAGATGACGAATGTGGAAATATTATGGCGGAGTCTTGGAGTATATTAGAGGGGTTTGATGCTAGAGAAAAAGTTGAAAGATTCTCCAACAATCTGAAACAGTGGAGTAGCAAGCGACCCAGGGATTTTGCTAATGAGATAAGCTTAAGAAGGTAGAAGATGAAGCAAGCCATGCTAAAAGATCCCACGAAAGAAAAACTGGACGAAATTCGTGCTATTAACAGTGAGATCGATGAGCTCGAAAAATGAGAAGAAGCCTATTGGGCTACACGAAGTCGTCAGGTTAAGGGAGGGTGATAAAAACACAGCCTTCTTCCACAAAAAGGCTGAGCAATGCAGGCAAAGGAATACTATTAAAGGCATTCTCGATGGGGGGGGGGGGATTGAAGAAACGCGGAGGTGGAGATGGAAGCTATTTTTGTGGAATACTTTAAGACCCTTTTCACTTCCTATGGAGATAACGAAATGCAGGAGGTGCTTGATGTAGTAGACTGCCGAGTCACAGATGAGATGAATGAGGAACTTACAAAGCCATATACTAGGGAGGAGGTAGTCAAAGCTCTGAAACAAATGCACCCCACAAAAGCTCTCGGCCCAGATGGGATGCCTGCTCTTTTTTATAAGAAGTTCTGGAATGTATTTGGAGATGATGTGGTTGAATATGTTCTGAATATTCTTAACAATGGCAGCCCATTCGATCAAATAAATTACACCAACATTGTGCTTATTTCGAAAATAAAATAATGTAAGTCTACAAAAGATTACAGACCTATCAGTCTTTGCAATGTTCTCTATAAATTAGTGTCTAAAGTGATCTCGAATATACTTAAGACTGTTCTTCCGAGTGTGATTAGTGAGTTGTTGAGTGCCTTCGTTCCTGGTAGGCTTATCACTGACAATGTTCTCATTGCTTATGAAATGTTCCACTATTCGAGGAAAAAGAAAACAAGGGTTAAAGGGTATATAGCTTTGAAGCTCGATATGAGCAAAGCGTACGATAGGGTGGAGTGGACTTTTATTGAGGGTATGATGTTGAAACTGGGGTTTAATGTGAATTTTGTGGCCCTTATAATGCGATGCTTATCGTCTGTTTCATACTCTTTGCTAGTAAATGGTTTTCCCTCAAACAGATTTTCTCCCACCAGAGGCCTTTGCCAAGGGGATCCAATCTTCCCTTTTTTATTCTTAATTTGCGCAGAGGGATTCTCCGCCCTTTTCCGCAATGCTGAGAACCGAAAATGCATTCATGGGGTGAAATTGGGAAGATATGTGCCTGCTATATC